TATAACTCAGGGGCAGTCTATCATTCTTGGATCTTCAGGCCAACGTTGAAAGAGGCCAACTGGGCGATGGGCTTGTTTCCTCCTTTCCAAGCACAAGATGTGAAGTACAAAAGACCGAGGACAGGGAAAAGTTGGTCTCCTTCAGGACTCGAGAACTGCGTGTTCCTCTAGCTATGAAAGTCTTTCCAGCAAGATGCCACCTGACAGCACCCGCTGGCACACGCTTAATCCCTTAGCTCTGGGAACATTTTTAAAGCTTTAATTGACTGTATCAATGATAATGGGATGTGTTTGTTCATGTTGTAAAATATTTTAATACTGGTTCTCTCTGAATCTTACTTTGAACTTCTTCCATTTGCTTTGTAACTTGCCAAATTATCATGTGCACAGTAAACGCCAAGCATGGGTATTAATGGTAATGAGAATGATGTCATTATATCATAAACCACACAGAAATTGCATCTTAATTCAGACCATCTAAAGGGCTGGAGTCTCTATACAATCATGTCTTAGAACATTTAGGTTTGCAAAAATGTTGAAGTCACAGAAATGGTCTGGACTGCCGACCTTGGGCAGACACCCAGCTCTCCGGCCCTAAGGACAGCTCACTTAGGTGGAGGTCACCTAGCATGCCTAAAGAAGGAGAAAAACCAGAACTACAGCCCTTGGAAAACATGTAGCATGTGGATAAGGAGAGAGGGGGAGAAGCCAGGACCCTCACATTTGTACTGCACCCACCTGTTCTACAAAGTTTGGTCCTTCTCTGGTCTGCATGTCTGCGTGTTTTATCTCGAGACAACGGGGTGGTTTTATTATGTAATCTACACAGAGCTATAATTGAAATTTGAGATGAGATGAAAATGGTGGGTCAATTTCAAAAAGCTACACAGAGAGGAGAATTTGAACTTAAATTCTCCTTTCCCAGAAGTTGGATTATATTATGTATTTGTCTCTAACACATCAGTGAGGCCTTACAATCTCCTTATCTGAAATGAATAAAAATTAAAGTCACAAATATGCATTTAGTGTCCAGCATTTGGGGAAAATGCATTCCACTAGCGCAGATTATAAAAAGAACTCTAAGTACTTAGTAGGTCTATATATTGAATTTTTCAGGGTTGTCTCTGATACCATCAGGACTGCAGGGATAGCAAAATATTTACAGGTTAGCAAATGCAAATAAGAATGCAATATAAAGCAGCAGACAAAGCAGCAGATAAAAGTCCTAGTTCCCTACAAGACATTAATGAACACTGCAAAGCTGAGCTCTCACTTTCTATTGCTTCTCTTCTTATAATTGGTCAAATTACATAAAAAGACATAAAATGATTTACCTTTTTGTGCTTCTGGATCCATTAAGTAATGAGCTGGTGATGGATGTACATTGATGTTTTCTTGATCATTTCTTGAAAACTATGATATATTAAAATATCAAATGGTAAGGGTCTCTTTGGTGGCCTGGGGGTTAAGTCTCAGCACTATCACGGTATCACTGCTGTGTCCTGAGTTCCATCCCCTGCCAGGGAGCTACCCACAGGGCGCAGCAGACCTCTCCTGTCTCCCCGCTGCTCCCCTCAGCAGCATATTTCAGTCAGTCTGCCTGTTCTGCTCCCCACTCTGTCTCTGGTGAATCCTCTCAACCCCTGCACCTCTGGCCTATACCCCAGCTCTTGTATGCACAAATAAATAAATCTTAAAAAAAGCCCAAACCATCCCAGCAGACACATGGAAAACAGAAGAAATTTAAATGTGTCAAGAAATCACAACAAGCACATAATGTGCATAAACTTAAACTGGCTATTTAGTTCAAAAACCAATGATTTGGTGTTTTACTCTGTGTTGGGTTACGTAATAACCACTTCACCACCACAAATTTATATAGATGCTGCTCCTCTCCTCCAAGGGTCCCCAGCACAGCCACCGCTGGTCTCTCCACAGCCTCTGGGCTTAGAAGACAGACTGCCAGCCCCCTGGCTTACAAACAAAACTGAAAGGCTACATTATGTTGCTGCGGACATGAGTCTCCGAAGTTATCACAGGCCCCATCCCCAGGCTAGCTTCCCTTGTATTCAAGAAACCTGTCGCCTGCCGGTCAGCATTTATGAAATGGGAAGTCAGGACATACCTAGAGGAGTTTCTAGAAGGTGGAAAGGCATCCTGCACACTTCTGCTTTGCTGCGCGTGCCTGGGCGGCGGGCACCAATGCCGGCAGTCAACTACTGTACATCCTGGCAGCCGGAGCCCGCAGGGGGATTAGCATGCAGACAGCTGTGGCTGTGTCTGCGGAGCCTCCAGGGAGCCAGCCCCGAGGCCAGAGCAGCGTGAACAGGGGGCTGGGGAACAGCGGAGACACTCTGTGTGTGTCCCCAACAGACCGGTGGGCGCGCAGAGCCCAGCGAGCTTTCTCCACCTCCATGCCAACAGTTATTTAAGGCTGAGCCGCGATGACGCCCCGCCAGGGGAGAACACGTCTGTTTCACGTCACCTGTCTGGGTGCGAACATGGTTTTTAAACTCAAGTCACACCAGAGCGAGCAGCGGTGCTCTGGGGCAGGAACCATCCCTGCCATTCATCCTGCCGAGCCTGTCAGGAGCCGAGGCTGCACCTGTAGCTGGGGGCGCTCCGAAATACCCCCGCCACTAAAATAGCCTCAGTTCACTATTCTGGCTAATTAAGTCAAGCAACATTGTAAAGGTAAATTGACAGAGGAGTGTGGGTACAGCTTCTAAGAAACTTTCCATGACCATGTATCAAGGTCAGGTTAAGAGAATGGAGGGGACTAGCATGGGGCTGACCTTACTTAATGTCAATAATTACCTTGTTGTGGTTTTGGACATTGTTTTCATGTGCTTCTTGGCTTCCTCATGAATAAAATAGAAACAGAAAAGACACACAATCAGTATTTGTGAGATGAATATGGTACATTGTGAGATGAATATGGTACATAAGAACATTCTGGAAACTAAACAATCCTAAACAAGGCAAACTGTGATTAGAGGCAGTTAATTCTGGGCAGAGGAAAATCTTGCCTTTCTGGGTCTTTTCATTCAATGAATGAGAATTACCTGTCTTTTAGAAGGCGTTATTTAAAAGATCACAAAGTTATCACCACTGGATTTATTAAGAGGCAGATTCCCTAAATCGATTATCTAAACCAACACGGTGACGATGATTAGCTCAGTTCTATTGAATTGTTTAAAAAGTAGAAGTCTGCCTCCAACTATAAATTGTTTATAGGAGATCACCGCTTCCACTGAGAACTAGAAAAGTAGGTTTCAACACACACACACACACACACACACACACGTCATCAGAGAGCTACCTAGGCAGCCAAGAGTTCTATGTTTTTGCTGATCATTGGTAGAAAGAGGCTGAGGGGTCAGAGAGTGTTAGGGGAAAAAGGCTGTCCCAAAGCTAATTCCATACAGGCTTTGTGGACTCCACCCCCACCCCAGGTCAAAGCCAAAGACACTGGGAACTCCAAATCCCATCACCACCCAAGGGAAGGTGGCTGGGACCTGAGGGTGGGGTTCAGCAGCCAGGTGGATACAAAAGGCAGACATGTGGGCTTTGGGGCTCTCTCCATTTTGGGGCCCTCGGCCAGCTCGCGGCGTCCGGCCAGCTCTGAGAGTGACTTTGGGTTTCCAGGTCGGCGGATCGGGTAGGACGCATTAAAGACTTTATTTCCCTATTTTCTCCCTGAGTTGTACATTTTCCTTATTTCTTTTTCTCTTGTCAATAAACCTTTTATTAACCTTTTGTGTGTGCCTGCAGTGGAGTATTCATAAGTCCCTTTAAAGCGCGCGGGTGAGGACCCACAGCCAGGCACCCGTTTAATATCGGGGTTGCTCTATAACAGCTTGGCGTCCAACGTGGTTTGCGTTTCACCCGTGGCTGACCAGCCCAAAGTAATTTTTCTTGCGTTGGTCACCATAAAAGCGCATTAGGTCTGCAGGACTCGCAGTGAAACTCTGTTTCACGTCTTGAAAAGTTTTTTTTTTCTCCGCGCATACGGCTGTTGTGGGTGTGGTTTTGACCCAAACACGGCCTCAACCATGAACTTCAGCAGTTTAATCCCTAACTTGAGTTCTTTCAGTTTTTTTCCGGCCTTGAATTTAAGTAGCCTTTTTCCATTAAATATTACCACCAGTTTGATAAGTGTAAATAATTGGATTAGACCTAGCTTATGGCACGTGATTTTAATTCTGTATACATATGTGAATGGTTTCCAAGCCATCCCTTTGCAGTCTGTGCTTCTAGGTGTTTTTTTGGTAATGTGCATAGGCGCCATGTGCTACATTTTTGTTTCTATGAGAAGTAGTGGTTGTACTTCCCATACTGAAAATGTGCTGCAACAAATTCAAGCTCTTAACTTAGCGATGAAACAACAAAATCAGGCTTTTAAGTCAGCTTTTCAAAGCGTGCAGCATCAAGTGCAACGACAAAATCAGATTTTTGAGTCAGCTTTTCAAAGCATGCAGGATCAAGTGCAACGACAAAATCAGACTTTTGAGTCAGCTTTTCAAAGCATGCAGGATCAAGTGCAACGACAAAATCAGTTTTTTAATTCAGCTATTGGCAGTGTAAGGGACGAAAATCGTAACGTTTTTGAGTCCGCCTTTAAAAGTGTGCAGGACCAGATACAGGCCGCCCTCCATAAATGGGATATGACACAGAAAAAGGCTAAAATAATGGTACAAAAAAGAAATAAATGTTCTCCTTCCCATGAGGACTGCAAAAGGGCAGAGTTAGAAGAAGAGAAAGAGATTCATATGCTAAATACCTTAAACTCGTCAGGACAAAGGCTTTCTCCACGTAAAGTTGGGCGCCAAGCTGTTATAGAGCAACCCCGATATTAAACGGGTTCCTGGCTGTGGGTCCTCACCCGCGCGCTTTAAAGGGACTTATGAATACTCTACTACAGACACACGCAAAAGGGTTAATAAAAGGTTTATTTACAAGAGAAAAAGAAATAAGGAAAATGTACAACTCAGGGAGAAAATAGGGAAATAAAGTCTTTAATGCGTCCTACCCGATCTGCCGACCTGGAAACCCAAAGTCACTCTCCGAGCTAGACGGACGCCGCGAGCTGGCCGAGGGCCCCAAAATGGAGAGAGCCCCAAAGCCCACATGTCTGCCTTTTGTATCCACCTGGCTGCTTAACCCCACCCTCAGGTCCCAGCCACCTTCCCTTGGGTGGTGATGGGATTTGGAGTTCCCAGTGTCTTTGGCTTTGGCCTGGGGTGGGGGTGGAGTCCACAAAGCCTGTATGGAATTAGCTTTAGGACAGCCTTTTCCCCCTAACACTGGGGTGGGGGTGGAGTCCACAAAGCCTGTATGGAATTAGCTTTGGGACAGCCTTTTTCCCCTAACAAGAGGACAACATGGAAGAATGCCAGCAAAGCTTTCAATAATCTCTAAAAGGGAGACAAAACAGTAGTGTTGGAGCTGCAAGGCAGCCAGAATTGGGGCTGCAGATCCCAGAAAGAAGAGACAGAGAAATGAGGCTGACACTGAGCACCCATTTTTCACTCAAGGTATTTACTTGGTAAGATATTTAGAGCCAGCAGTTAATTTTCTAAGCGCAGAGTGACTAAAAGAAGAGCAAAGCTCAGAAGACAGAAGCACCCAGCTGGGAGCAGGCACCCCTGGAAAGCTGCACTCTAGGAGGTGGCGGGAGCTGGGAGGAGAGCCTTCCAGAAGAGACTTGTCAGCCGGGCTCACAGGCTGATGGCTGCCATTCCACCCCCACCCGCTGTGCCCTCCCGGATCCTTTCTCAAGGAAAAGCTGCAACATCCATAGACAATGTCAAGCATTTGGCCAAATTTGCTTATCGGATCAAGGAACCAGTCCACCGGTAACTGAGGGGGCATTGGGTGCTTGCCACAGACCACAATAACAGGTTAAGATGGTCAAAAATGACAGGAATTACACCAGAGAGTGGGGATCTATAAACATAGTCAAGTAGACAGACGAGAACTGGAAATACAACCAATGACACGAAGCACTCAACAGATGAGCTAGATCAAGCTGGCGAAGTGACCTGAAAGATAATTTTATAAGAGAAGTAGATGACGCCTGGGGCTCTCAGCCAGGTACGCCACCTTGCTTGAAATAATGGTAAATGTGCTGGTTTGTTTGTCTGAAACAGGCAACCTATTATGTAGGTCAAATGGCACCCTGGACTCCGCGTGAGGAGGTTTGGATTCTGGTCACATTTCCCAGCCGGATGAGTGAACATCTCTATGTGCTTCTTTCCTGGTTAAAAAAAAAAACACAAAAAACAAAAAACAAAAAAACAAAAAAAAGCCAGGGGAGGGAGGGCGGCTGCTGTGTACTGTCCGCCCGCTCTGTCAACACCGTTCAGATGGGATAAACTCTGGAAGGTCCTGGATAGTCATGCCCTCCCCCCCAGGGGGTACAGCCAAGAGAGTACATTTTGCATATAGCTCGATACTAGGACATGCCTGTTGAGGTCACAGGCTGGGAGAAGAGCGGTTTTTCTTGTCATGTCATGTCAGACATTCATCTTGTGCTGGACTTAGGCACTGTGCTCTTCCAGCAGTTGAAGTGCAGGTGCAGGTGCGTAGTGACCCAGCAAGGAGCTAGCAGCAGCCTGGCAGACGCTGAGCCTGCGACCCTGCTTGACCCCGTGCGTCAGATGCCTTCCTGCCTTGCATTGGCCAGATTGTTCCTTAGGCCATTACGAATGCCTTGTTAGAGCAGCTGGGCCATCAGCCCTGCTATGAGGCTCTGAGACAAGTGCAAACTATTAAAGGCAAAAGCAGTAAAGGCTTAGGCCAAACTGTGATCCCACCTATAAACACATCTGCAGAAAGCCCCCGATTACAAGTCACTCTCAGCAATGAGAGCCCCATGGAGAAGTGAGCCTCCTCCGGCCGCTCCTCCAAGAGCATTCTGCTTCAGGGATGTCCAGAGAAAAGCGGCGCGAAGGGAAGATCTGGCTTTCTGTGACAGTCACCGGAGGCTTTGGGAGACAGCTGCTCAAGAAGGCAGGTACAAACAAGCCAGATTCCAAGCCAGGAGCCGAGGAGAGCAGCGAGTACTGAGGAAGTGGGGCAGAAGGTGAATGTAAGCGAGAGCCCGAAGCAAGTGTGAGGCGGGACTCGAATCCCCGGGTTTTGTTCACCATGGCGAAGACTGCTGGTCACTGGCCAGTGGCGGAGGAATCAGCAAAGGTGGAAACACCCGAAGCCAGAGAGGATGGGCTGGGGGAGGGGGCCTCTGAAGGAAGGCAGCCCCGCACTCTAAGGAATTGGTGATACGGTCCCAGGACTGTTCTTGGGGCTCGGCCACAGCAAGGGGGGTGGCTGTGTCAGTCATCTAGAGGCAGAGCTGGGCCACTGTGCAGACAGGTGTCAGCAGCACGTTCAGGAGACCACCCAAGGGGGACCCACCAGCACAGGTGTCGTCAGCCCTGGGCGCCCACACGGGAAGCAGCGGGTGACGGTCGAATGTGAAGACTCAGGGGTTCCCAGCTAACGCTCAAGGGGGGAACCATGCCCCCCATGTACATTTCCTGACGATCCTGCGACAGCCACAGAGAACACACTGTTCCAGCATGTGGCTGCGGCGGGGCGGGGGGTTCGGCTGCCCCCTCGGGGGTCCTGGGGGACAACGGGGAGAAGTGGGGGCAGGACTTCCGGTTGGTGCAAAGAACCGTTCCTGGTGGAAAATGAGGCTCTTTGGTCTCCTGGGGGGCCGGGCAGAGGGGTGTGGGTGAGGACAGGTCCTTTCCACTGACGCGGCGGGACAGAAACACGAGCGGCCGACGCCTGTGGACACCAGGAAATAACCCGAGAGGCGGAAAACGCTAGAAAAAAGTGTCACGTGGGAAACAAGCATGTGCCCAGGGTAGCCTCGGCGCTTTCAAAACCCACACGCCGGGCGGAAGGCTGTGCTGGCCGCGTTTATTCTTCCCCGCCCCAGGCCGCGCCGGGCCGGCGTCAGGTCCTCCCGCTCCTCCTGCGGCCCCGCGCGCGCCCGCGGCTGCCCCTCCTCGTCCCGAACACGGGCCTGGCCGTCACCAGCGCCGGCCGGCTCCGCTCCCTGTCGCTGTCACTGGAGCTGCTGGAGGAGGCGCCCCGGTCCCCATCGCCGCCCGCAGCCTTCGCTGCACCCCGGGGGGCCGCGGGTCCCCTCGGCCCGGCCGGCGACGGGCCGCGCTCGGCGTCCTCGCCCGACGAAGACTGCGACAGGTAGGCGGCCCCCAGGAAGCCCCCGCCCGGCCGCCCGCCTTCGGAACCCCGAAGTCTCTTTCTTTTCAGGCCCGACGGCTCTTCGCGTGGATTCGCCGAGCTTCCCTCCCAGGGCGCGCCCCCGGCCCTCCCGAGGGCCTCGCTCTCTTTCTCCATGGCAACCGACGCGGCCTCCAGCTCCCGGGCCGTTTCCTCTCGCTCCTTCCTCAGCATACATGTCACGGCTCTGCTGAGCCTCTGGCTCTTGATGCCCTTCCCATCTTGCTTCTCCTGTTGTGCTAATCTAAAGAAGGAATCAATTCGGAGCTGTGTCTAAAAATGAAAAAAAAAAAAAAAAACTAATTATAACAACGCATCACTGCAGGGGTGACCGTTTCAGGGAAGCAGGGACCCATTACTCTCCAAATCCAGCTCTCCCCCGCATGATCGCCTGCTGGGGAGCTTCACTTGCTCTGTCACTGCAGGGGTGCCTGCGCCACCTCGGCCCGCCTCGCAAGAGAACTCCCCTTCCCAGCGCTCAGAGAGAGGTGGGGTTCCTCTCCTCAGTACTCAAGTCTATCTTCTTCTTTTGGGGCAACACAATGTCTTAGGATCGGTTTCAAAATTCCAACAGTTCCTTCTTTTAAAAGCATCATCACCATATAATGCCTTCACAGGCCCCTCCGGGAACTGTCAGGTGACAGAGTATGTATGGAAACGATCTAATATAAACATTATATATTAGGAGTCGTAAGAAACAGTCATGTCTTTTGTTCAGCAAATCTTTTTCAGGTTCAATTTTTCTTTCTTATTTTTTAAATCCAGGTAACGCTGGCTGGCAGCCTTGTGTAAGTTCAGAGGCACGTCTCACACGCTGCAGGCACGTGTGGCCACCCCACTCCCACCACCCCCATCAGGCCCGCCCCTCTTTACTCTCCACCCCTCCCGCTGACGCGCTCACTGACCGAGTGTGTGCCTCTGGTGCTTCTCCGATTGAATTAAAGTGTGTTCACACCTGAAGAGACTAGTGACAAGGACTGCCCTGGCTTGGAGGCTTCGTAGACTTGTTTAAAATGAAAATAAGGCTGATGGGTTAATACACTCAGTTATACCCACCTTCGCGTGCTATCAACTGTAAGGCTGCCTCTGCCCAAATCAGAATGAATGACAGGACACCAGAGCCCAGCCCAGGGTGACACTGGGAGATGAAGACAAAGGCCATTCTCTCCCTTTTCCTGTTTTCCTCTGTTCTCTCGCCTAAAGTAGCACCATTTTAAAATATGTGCTGCCGGCTCTCAAGTGACTGGTCTTCACAGCTGCCTCAAAGCCTCCCTGACTTAGCTCTCCAGCCCAAGCTTGGGAACCAAACCACACAATTACCTGCTGGACATTGAGTTGCTTTAACACTGGAAACAGAAACTCATCTGTCTTTGTCTTGTTCCAGCCAAAGTACCGCTGACAAAATATGCAGGCAGTTAAGGCCTCTATGTGTTTCTAGAGATATTTAAACCAGTGACAAATTAGAAGGTTCAAAGAACCCACCCTTGGCTCCCTTCCCTGTACCTCCAAAGATTTTTTTTCATATTTATAAATATTAAAGTGGTAAACGACAATAACAAATTCCTCCCACATAAATCGCCCGGCACTATGTCCTTTTACTATCCTTTAAGTCAAGATATCCTTTAAGCCATGACATTTTATGAAACCAAAGCTTCACAAGTATGAAAAAGATTAGCCCCGAATAACCGTATTTCTTTGAGAGAAATAAACTGTAGATTAAGTAATTTTTTGGATGTGTAAAAGTTTACAATTGAATTAAACATGCAGAAAGGAACATTCGTAATAAAAAGAACAAAACTAATCTTTTCTACAGTCTCAGGATAATAAAGTAACTGGTTGCATCTATAAATGTTTTATCACTACTTACTTCAAATAAAGTTCCTCCTGAACGTGAAGGTGATTATTCATGATAGATAACACAGAAGCAGACCACGTGTCCCTACAAAATATGGCAGATGCCTACTATGGAATATCATTCAGCCCCAGAAGAGGAAGGAAATTCTGACATAAACTGCATGGATGAATCTGGAGGACATTTGGCTACATGAAATAAGCAGAAGCAAAAGACCAAGACAGTATGAGAGACTTCACGACAGTCAAAAGTACAGACAGAATGCGGGAGGGTGGGGTCCGGGCTGGGGCAGGAGGGCGAGAGCGCGCGTGCTCGTGGGGACAGAGCTTCAGTTCCACATGTGAAGAGAGATCTGGGGATGGATGAGGTGACAAGGGCACAACCAGGAGAAGGTACTTAACACCACTGACTGTGACAGTTAAGATGGTCAATTCTGCTACGCGCCTTTCATCACACATTAAAAAACACCCTGAGGTGAGAGAAAAAGGAAGTACAAGAGAGCTTACATAAAAGGCATATGAAGAAAAACATAATTCAAGTTTATGCTCCATAAATTCAACCAAAGCACATGTTTGGCTCAACGTCGCCTTCTGAAAGGATATTCTCTAATTCTGTGCAGATCGGGCTTCCCCCACAGAAAGGAGCCCCGGGAGTCGTCCACCACCGGCCTGAGGTAGGCGTCGGCCACCGCGGGGTTGGGAAAGCCGGGCGCCAGCTGTAGCCTGCGCAGCTTCTTCTTCACTTTGGTGTCGTAAGGATTGGGTCTTATCTTCTTGTGTTGTTGCGCTTCGTGCCACCACTCTCTGCAAGGCAAAAGAAGCGAGGCTTTACCCAGCAGAAGAGCATCCCAGGAGCTCCAGTGCGCGTCTGCTAGCCTCAAGGATGAAGTGGCTCAGAGGGCGCAGGGGGGGTCCTGGATTAGCTGCAGTGCATGAGAAACAATGTTCCTCCAACCTTGAACTTCACCCCTCGCTGTCCCTCCCCAGTCCTCCATCTGTGTGTCTGCTGCATTTGCTAGTTCTGTCCTGGGGGACCTGGCAGCAAAGAGATGACACTCCCCAGTCACACATGAAAAGCACTCGAGCCCCAGCTCCACAGGGAATGCTCTAACTCACGGAATACCCATTTATTCCCTTTCGTGTGACCGATGCCAACAGGTGAGATGGCAGGCGTGGGCAGAACGCTCCCTCTGTGCACAGCTCATACCTGCCCACCCCCCCGGAGCCCACCCCCAGGCCAGTCACGTCGTCTCCGGGCTCCCTCCGGGTGGCCCAATGGAAGTAAGAGCTGCGCTATTTACCTCAAATCAGCTCAATAATGGGCCCAGGAATATTGCATAAAATGTAAAAATGCCAAAAACATGTTAAATTTCTTAAAGGTAGGATGTCACTTTATATCAAAGTATAACCCCAATTTTGGGGGGGAAATGCATAGAACCTAACACAGTAACAACTATTATTTTATGGTGCACTGGCCAGAGTTCCAAGTGAGAAATCAACTGTCCATTTTCCTCTTCACATCTTATTCATTTTTAACTTTTCCATCATGAGCATAAGTGACTGTGGCAGGTCGAGACAACCCACCGTGGCATCCTCCCGTCAAGAGGAAGGACCCGTGTCCCCTCCCTGAGCCAGAGACAGGAAGAGCCACTGTGCTGGCCTCCCCGTCCTGCCTCCTGGAAGACTGGTCCTGGGAAGCAGCCATGAAGAGCTCCAGATGGAGGGGTCCGGGTCCCCAGTCCACTTCTGGCTGAGGGCCCGGCTGGCCATCCCAGGCATGAACCTCTCAGTGGCCGTCCCAGCCCAGCTGAGCTGTCCCCCGGCACAAACAGGACAGAGGAGACACCCCAGGTGTCCTGACAGACTGATTCATGAGCAAATCAATGATGGCTGGTGTCTGACGTCACCAGGGAGGGAGAGGACCGGGACAATTTGAAGAATTAGGGAAAAGGAGTGGTGCAAGCGTTGAAAACATAAACAGAACCCTCACCAGTCTACACACTCAATGGAACCCACCAAGCTACATCTGTCCACTGCGTCACCTGCTTACTACTGCCAGGAGCTGGCTCAGGTCAGCGGGCTCACCGGTGCAGGCGCGCCACCTGGTGTACGAGACACTGAGTGCAGCCCTCTTGGCAGGCTCAAAAGGCAGGAAAGTAAAAGCCTTCATCAGTTTTGCACTACTGTTTCCTAGAGCGCAGGAGCTATTTTCTATTTCAAAACAGTAACCATGACTGCCAGCTAGCAGCAGGCATCACGCGAAAAGGCCAGCAGTGGGCTGGCCTCATAAAGATGAAAGTTGGCACCTGCCCATCAGCTGGGCTGAGGGGGCACAAGAGGGAGCGGCAGCCAAGAGCTGAAGGGGCTGTGTCCTGGCTGGGCCAGTGAGGGGAACTGCTGCTCTGCCCCAGCTGTTTGGGGGCTACTTGGGGACCTGGACTAAGTATTTTCAGATCTCATTTTTCCCTAAGAGCTGCAACATATACTGTGAAAACTCTCCCACTTTAGCGTTGATAGCCGGTTCACAAGGAAAGTTCTACAGAAGAGCAAATGCCTTCAGCCAAACCAAACACCCAGACTGCATTCAGCCGGTAGCGAGCAGCCCCTGCAGGGCATGGCTGCCCTTCCACGGCTCATCTCCTGACCCCCACACCAGCACAGGCCAGCCGGCCAGGGCAGACACGTGAGCGCGACTCCGTGTCATGCCGACAGTGAAAGGCCATGGAAGGGGAATGCAGGAGCGTTCCTTTTTCTTTGTGCCGCTCCATGTCATTCTGAACTTACTTTTTTCTTCCATGTGAATGACTTATACTAAAAAATAAAAGCTTTTTTGTATAGAAACAAAGAAGATAGAAGTCCAGTCATTCGTGATGTGGATGAACCTGGAGGGCGCTGGGCCGAGGGAACCTGCCGGATCTCACGTCAGCGCGGAATCCAAGCCCGAACTCACATAAGCAGAGAGAAGGCTGGGGGTCCCCAGGGCTGGGGGGCAGGACGAAGAGTGCAGGTACGAAGTCCCAGTTACGAGGCAGGGCTACGCTGCCGAGACCTGGTGGACGGCAGGGGGCTAGAGCCCACACCATTGTGTCACACACTTGAAATCTGTCAGGAGGGCAGATTCGGAGGCTTCTTCATGCTCACACGCATGAAACGTGATGATGTGAGGGGTGGGTCTGTGGACTAGCTTGGTGTGTTGTCTACTTCACAACGAACATACATATGGAACCATCACATACACCTTAAGATGACACAACTTCTATTTGCTATTCAGCTGGAAAAATTTTTGTTTATATTTTCATTTTGATCTAATCAGATTATTCAGCCCAGAAGTTTTCAAACACAGGATATAATCTGAGAGAACACGAAAGACTCGTTGAATCCACTGCCGCTGTCCGCGGGACAAGTTGGCAGTCAGAGGCCATCACAATCCCATGACACATCAAAAACCAGTGAATGTTTCCCCTCACAGTGAGTTCCCCTCACGGTGAGTTCTATGCTCTGTGAATTACATTCAATTTTGTTAAAAGGATGCCATCAGGGCATCAGAGTACTTCAGGTGCCATCCCTGAAGCCTCAAAATGGAAAGTGGACCCCAGCACAGCAGCCTCTGGGCGCTGGGCATTGGACGCTGGGTGGGAGGAAACCGCACAGAATCCACACACAGCACACGTGGTCGACAGGACAGGGGCCACCATTCCTGGCGCCCCTCCCAGAGCACAGCACCCCCCAGGCTGGGGTGTGGCTTCCGCGCCTCAGCATCTCCTCAGCCAGCCCCGCCCCACAGTGCAGCTGCTCACGACACATTCCAGTGAGTGAAACAGCGCCTCAAAATCCCTATGAAATCCCACAGGCCTGGCACTGTTCCCTGGAAAAAAACCCTATTTTATTCGAACTCCAGAAAAGGGGAACTTTAGAGACTACCCCCTCCTATTTTCTTGGGTGAACATCGATTTGTGACAGCCCGTGATGTAACCAGCAGTTCTGACTGCCAACCGGGGTGTTTATAAAATCGTCTGAGTTGAAGACACGGAGGAACTTACGAGAACTTGAGCAGAGGCTCCAGGCCGTGTCCAGGGAACTCGTTGAGGATCTCCATGGCGGTGACACACCCGACGGTCGGGATCCCCTCCGTGTAGTCACTTCCCAGCAGGTAGGCCAAGTTTATTAATTTGTTCCGGTCCAGTCCTACAAGAGAAAGTCTTATATATTTAGAAAACTTCTATTTTAGGGCCTTCCTGGTGGCACAGGCGGTTGAGCGCCGCACTGTGAAGCTGTCCACGGCCTTTGCAGCAAGGGTTTCATCCCGGCCGGCAAGAATCCCACATGGTGCAGCAGACCTCTCCTGTCTCACCTGCTGCTCCCCTCAGCAGTGTGTTTCGTCAGGTCTGCCTGTTCTGTTCCCCACTCTGGCTCTAGTGAATCCTCTCACCTTCCCACACATCTGGCCTGTGCCCCGGTTCTTGTATAAATAAATCTTTAAAAAAAACCCAAACTTCTATTGTATAACACATATTCTGTAAATCTGTAAACACTTTACCATAGAAATGTGTGTATCCTCACCCAACATCCAAAGCTATGTCCCTTTTGCCATTTGAAAGCAAATTATTTTTAATGACTTTCTGTTAAGAATCTTAAGGTTTCACCCATCCCCACAGCTTTAAATTCCATCCATACTCAACACCCCCCCAGCTTAGCGATCCAGCCCCGATCTCGCCTCGGGGCCACAGCCTCACATATTCAGTCACCACCCAATGTCCCCCGGATGTGAGGAAGCATCTCACCTGGGATCCACCCAAAGCTGGCGCCTCAGTCCTCCTCCCCACACACACCCCTGCTCCTCCCACTCGCCCCTCATCTCAGAGGAGAGCACACCCTGGCCGTGGCCAAGGCAGGGGTTAGCCTGGCCGCCACCCTCGTCACACACAGTCCTCCCACCAACCCTTTCTCCAGAGGCCCAGACCCTCCTTGATTTGTCTCCTCCTTCCTCTCTGATAGTGACTCTTGCCGTTCTCCTCATCCGAGGCCCCCCATGACCTCACTCAACCCGAACCACCTCTTCACGCACACCCCTCCAAGCGCAGTCCCATTCTGAGGCCCTGAGGGTTAGGGCTACAACATGCAGGCTCAGGGAGGGGAGGTGGATTCAGCCCACGGCCGCCTGCCTTCCCAGAGCACACAAGACAAGCGCCCGCTTCTTGGCCTTGGCACTCGCGAGAGCCTTCGCTGACATGCTCAGCCCAAGAGATCGCAACACTTGCTTCTTCTTCCCTTTAGACCCGGCTCAAGATTCACCTGCTAGTGAAGGTTTCCTGACCACAGCTCGGCGTCAGGCCATACGCTTTCCCGACGTGCTCTTGTCTGCTGCTTAGTTTCTCCCTATGGCGCAAACCACTAGCAGTCCCATATGTACACACACTAGTGTTTCCATATGTATATAAACTATGTATGTTTTATCAAGTGTTTCTCTGCTGTTTCCCCTCCAGGAATCACTGAACGTGCCTGGGGAGCTGAGGGGGCGGTGAACGCTCACTGCCCCACACACCGGTGAGGCCACTGGGCTCCCGACTCCCACCTGCCCTCCCTCACCTCCAGTTCACTGGAGATCTCAGGTAACCAGTCACAGCCCAATCAAGGCAGGTGATTAAACTGCAGAAGATGCCTAAACACACTAGGGGTTTCATTGCTTAATTCTAATTTAAGACCCTGACTCCTCTCTATGTACAAAAAATCACTCATATGAAAACTTGCAGAGACCCTCTGTTTCCATTTACGAATCAAAATCATTCTTTGGGAAGAAAAAATTCAAAACAGAAATGCCAAAGGAAATTTTCAGAAAGGAGTCAGACTCTGAAGTCTTACCTAATTGGTTGTGAAAGTCCACATACTGGTAATATTCTACAAACTTGTTTTTGTTAAAGAAGTTTTTATAAACATGCCGTGCTCCAAACAGCCAAATATCACTGTCATCAGTGATTGTTCCGGAAGTCTGGTCCGTCAGATCCAGGATGGCGCACTGGGCCTCGGCTTCCATGGGGGCCTCGACGTAGGGAATGCCAAACAGGCGGAGCAGCTCCTGCGAGCGACAGATACACTGTGACCCCCACGGAAAGGCAGGGCCTGGCCAGACCAGAAGTGGGAGCCCTGGGGACTGACTGAGTAAAGCACATGCAGGCCCTGTAAAAGGAGGCCCAAAGAGCTGCCTACACCCACCTGGCTTTCCAGAAACATCTGTCCCGTCACAGTGGCTGCAACCCGTTCTTGCTGCTGCTTTTGAGCATTCAGTGATGCCTGTTGTGCTAAAAGGTCATTCTCCAGCATTTCTAGCTCCTCCTATAAAATAATTTGTCACTTATTATGAGATCCCTAAATCCAACGGACACCATGTGTCCATGCAGGACAGCCTGCATTTAATCTGAAACGAACAAAAAGCTTTTCCATCTTATCAAGTTTTCCACCTGGATGTCTGAGCAAGTCTGTGATACCCTTAGAGCATCCTCACCGGATGACAGGCAGAGTAGAGACCACCCTGACAGCAACCTACATAATAAGGCGGCGTCGGCAGGAACAAGAAGACGCAGCAGAGAGCTAACAAGTACTCGTCCTGTAACTTCAAACTCAAAACCTCACACTTAGTATGTTCTCCTTGGCAATGAGTTAAACACGACGTCACGGTATTACCAAATTAATATCTTGCCATTCATTAAGCGAATCGTCTGCATCTTTTTCAGCTTCTTCACATGGCTCCAGATCCAAGGCCTGGCTTCCAGAGACGTCCCTCAGAAGCCCCGCGGAGTCCCCAGGGGCTTCTTCCTTAGTTCCTTTGGGTTCCTCCTCACCTTGTCCAGAGGGAGATTTAGCAGCTTCGTGTAATTCAGCTTGAAGTTCATCGTTACTAATTACACTCTGCACTTCGATGAAACTTCCTGTATCAAAACAATAAGGTCACTTGATCTGCAGCTGAAATATTAAAATGATCCTAAAATCAAAAGCTTTCCAAAGAGTCCCGAAAACTTTTCTTCCTAAAAAGATGTGAATGTAACAGAGAACATGTAACCGTAACATACTGCTATTAGACAAATATAACAATGGGTGCAAATAACTGCAAAATAAGCCTTTTCAGTTAGGTGAGCTGGCACTGTCCAGGAGCCAGGAGCCAGGAGCCAGGCTCTCAAAGGCGTGCACATACGCTTCACATATAGACGTTCCCCAGTTAACTGATATCATGCTAAAATTCAAAACGGAGAATTATCAAAGTGTGTCAGCAACAATCCTGGATAAGCCCTCTGGGGACGCAGCTCTTCCTCCCCCTCTGTCTTCCCTCCTCCCTAGATGACTTTCCTTTAAAAATTACCGATCCCCTTCCTCCCCTGCAGGCGGGGGTCCTGGGTCCGAGGACGCAGTCAGGATGGAGGGGCTGGGGCTGAGGAAAGAGCCAGGACCTGGGAGGCGGTTGGTGGGACCGGGCGTCCCGCCCCCCCGGCCTGTCCAGACAGAACCAGACATGGGAAGGGTCCGGCGGGCACCCCTGGAGAGGGACCACCCGCCACCTCCATCTCTGACAACAGCAGGCACCCACCATCAGAGTCACTTTCCTCAGAGACGATGTCCACGGTGCTCACAGGCTCAGGCCCTGGCACGAGATCCTGGCCTGCAGGTTCCAGCGCCCCTTCTTGGACGGCTTCCAGGGAACGCTCACTGAGCGACCCTCCATTTTCCAGCTCGCTCAGTGCCTCCGAAGGGCCACCCAGCATGGCCCCCATTTCTTGCAGACACTCTGCGTCCAGGACGTCAGAAGCAGGATCTTTCCCCTCCTCCATGTCCTCGTCACTTGAAGGGGCAGAGGAGTCCCCTTTACTCGGGGCTGGACGGAGCCCCTGCGGCCGCCCCAGCACGGGGGTGTGTGCTTCACTATCTGCGACGGGAGCCGCGCTGGCCAGAGGAGCAGCTGTCGGCTCCCCAGCACTCGGGGGTCTGGGGGCACGCCCAGGCATTGGCATGGAGCTGTCTAAGGGGACAGGGTCTCCTCCATCCCTAACGGCAGGCTCGCCCCTAGTCTGGAGGGCCTCGCTCACCATGGCAACGACCAACGACTGTTCTTCTGGATTGCCAGAGTCAGCGCCTTGACAAAAGGTGGCACTTGGTAAAGGTGTCACCCCTGCCAATTCTCTGTCATTATCAGTGCTGGGCACACGCCCCTCGACCACGTCCACACGGGGTGACGGCGGAGCAGGTGTCCATAGCAGCCCTGTCCCATCTCTGGCTTGAAGTCCTCCGTCAGGCTCCTCATCAGAACTGACCAGAAGCAGGTCTGGGACTCCTGCCCCTCCCACCTGGGCTTCATTCCCGGCATCCACTTTTCTGTCTTCATCTTCGTCATCATCGAGAGCTTTCTGAATGGCCCGGAGAGTGGGAGGGGATATGGCGCCCTCCTCGCGGGGAGCAGGCACGGTCTGCGCCTGGAGCCACCTTCCAGGCTCCTGCCCCCCCTCCTCCTCCGAGCTGCTCCCCATCATGGCCGCCTGCATGGCCAGCAAGCTTCTTGGGGAAGGAGGGGCGCCAAGTTCCTTCTCTGGCTTCGGCTGCTCGCATGGAGCTGGCTTCACGTCAACAGCTGTGCTCTGCATTTTGCTGGACGACGGAAGAGACCCTGAATCCACGTCTGCCACTTTCTTGGCTTGAATCCCTGAAGAAAAATTAAAACATTCGCAGTAGGTAGCTTCACAGCGTGATCCTATATGTTCAGTAAGAGGGACAGGAGACTACTGGTTCTCATACGATACACATTCTCATTTAATCAGCAACTAAGGCTTCATTAGTTACTTAATTTTAAAGTGCACTGTAGGGCCTCCCCGGTGGCGCAGCGGTTGAGCGCTGGGTTGCGAAGCTACCCGCAGCCTCTGCAGCACCGGTTCGATCCCCGGCCACCAGGTGAGGGTCCCGCATGGCGCACAGACCTCTCCTGCCGCCCGCTGCTCCCCTCAGCAGTGTCCTTCGGTCCTTCTGCCTGCTCTGCTCCCCGCTCTGGCTCTGGTGAATTCTCTCACCCTCCCGTGCTTCTGACTGTACCCAGTGCTTGTATAAATAAATAAATCTTTAGAACCAATGTTCAATGCTCTAAATGACTTCTCGTTTTAAAAAAAAAATAAAATAAAAATAAAGTGCACTGTAGATAATCCTTGAAATAGCCTCCCATGCACTCAGCACGCAGGAGGACGCATCTACTACTATCTGGGGATGGCAGCTCAGAGAATTCAGAGGCAGGGTATAATTTTGGTTTCTATCAGTCAAACAAGGGACAGTACCAGATACCTTTTATCAAGATGTAATGCGAAGTGTCTTCAGAGACCACTCTCCTGGACTCCACCTCCTTCAGAAAGCCTCCTTCCTCTTCATACTGCCTCTGGATTTGCCCTGAGTGCTGCTGGTTCATTTCCTTCTGCACATTTTCTATGTGTTGGTTTAGATAGTTTTTTTTAAGCAAGCCTTTGAGCTGGTACTGTGAAAAGTCATTGGACTCCTACAGCAAAACGAATGTAGAATTGTTTAGAGTTAAACACAGACAGCATTCCTGTCTCTCCAAGCCTTTCCCCAAAAGGGACACAGGGCAATTGATTTTTTTCATTGATGGTATTTTCATATTATAAAAGTAAAATGTGAGTACTAGGAAAAATTGTAACTATGTTGGTAAAGAATAATCTTTAACACAAAAAGGATCTGGCAGAAGAAATGATCATTTATTCAAACAACATGTATGGCACATGGAAGACATGCCAGAGACTGTGATACTTTAATTATGGCTTAAGAGATAGTCTTCTAGAATGCAAGTAAATATGCAATTAAAGTATGCAGCACTGTCTCTGGCCCAGAAAAGACACACAACAAATCACAGCGATCACAGTAATGAATAATAGCTAACGTTTATGCAGCATTTCCTGTGTGAGGCATTCTTCTAAGCTTCTCTACGCTATCCTATTCTCTCCATCCTAGCAGCCAGATGTCATCACCTCCATGCTACAAATGAAGAAGCTGTGACAGAGTGGGTTAGGCAACCTTCCCAGAGCCTCCTGGCTAGTTAGCAGTGGATCTGGGATCAAAAGCAGGTTGCTGACCTTGACGCCAGGTCGTTTCCAGTACTGGTTACTGATATTACTCTTTGTATCTTTTTAATTTTATTTATTCATGAATACAAATAATTTTATTTATTTATGCAGGCCAGAGTTGCAGGGGGTGGGGAGGGGTGAGAGGATTCACCAGAGACAGAGTGGGGAGCAGAACAGGCAGGCAGATCTACTGAAATAATACACTGCTGAGGGGAGCAGCAGGTGAGACAGGAGAGGTCTGCTGCACCATGTGGGTAGCTCCTTGGCTGGGGATAGAACTCGTGCTGCAGTGGCTGCTGATAGCTTCATAGTGCTGAGACTTAGCCCCCGTACCACCAGGGAGGCCCCCTGACATTACTGTTAGCATTTACCATCATTTCTATTGTCAGCACTGCATTTGTCCAGTGCACAGATGATATAAGGTACAAAGTCTGGCTGACTTAGAACTTCTCCTCTGTGGGAATTACAGATCCACTGGGCTGCTGCACCAGAGACCCCACATCCCCCCATTCTGGAGTCTCTGTGGAGGCAGAGAACAAATGTCCCACAGACTGTGTCTGTCTTCCTCCCACTCGTTACCACTGTTGTTTACATGACCCACATTCTACGTCCTCAAAAACCAGCCAGAGCACCCTTCACACTCAGGAAATAAGCCGCACAGTAGACAGACTGAGCCTGTGTTTTTTCCCGAAATGAGAAAAACAAGTTTTTCTGTCTCTATCATTTCTGTGCCCACTAGTCTTTTCCTGTGTTCACACCCTTTGTGGAAAATCAGAAATGAGTGATGGGAAAATAAATCTCTTCTGCCATTTATGTATCAATTTAAGAAATGCCCCAAAGTCTGTGGGAAAATACTAGATCCATTTGTCAGAAATAAAAATGCTGTCCAGTTTATGTCATGTCCTCCAGTGAGTTGAAGAACAATGTGAGGAGCACAGAAAGAGGACACCCGCTCGCTTCCTGGAGGCGTCTGGGCCTCGCAGCCCTCAGCACCAGCCACAACCACCCTGCCCGGGTGCCATGACCCACTGTCAGAAGCTCCCCGTAGAGAAGTCTGCGGCCAATCTCCCCAGGACCGCTGTCCAGAAAGAGGGAGCAGGGAGACGTAGGCCCCGCAGCCACGGCAGGAGCCCCACAGCCACGGCAGGGCCCCCGCAGTCATGGCAGGGGCTGCAGCAGTGGGAGACCCCGCATCCACCCGGAATTTCAGTCAGCCCGTTCTCCACTGCAACACTCTCCACGAACCGAGTCCACAGCAGTTCTGCAGACTGACTAAGCGTGGAGCCGCTCAGCACACACTGGACACTGACCCCGTGCTAGTCGCACAGGCAAGGGACTCCCCCGGGCAGCAGGGAACATGGAGTGGTGGGCCCGGGGGGAAGGTCCAGACAGACGCCACCTCCTGCCGCCAGGAGCCTGAGCTGCACAAGCGCTGTCTGCAGCAAACACTACAGATGCTCAGGACACACAACTCTGCCCCAGCACGTGATGGCCGCAGGAGCCTCACCTCTGGCATCGCCTCAAACAACGTCCTTCTTCGCTTGGTAAATTCTTTCATATCCGTCAGGATTTCGTGCTTGACCTCAGGGGGCAGGCTGCCGAAGTCTTCAGACTCAATGTCTATGGCATGAGGGTCATGGAAGAACTGTTCCTGTGGAGGGGAGACCAACACTGTGATGCAAGCACTGCGTGCGTGTGCTGGATCCTGTCACGTGTGTTTGTAACAGAAACACCGTGAGACAATTATGAGGGGGCCCCCAGACTGTGCTACCGAGCTGGGGAGCAGGCTGTCCCTCCAGATGCGTGTGAGTGCGCTCAGGGCGTGCACACAGGATGCATCACCTGACGACACATTGCTTAGATGCATCCCGCTGCCAAGTGGTGCGTCCACACACCATCTACAGTGGCCAGCCCAGGGTACCAGCTCAACAGCAGCATCCAGTGAACACACGTTGGAGGACGTACCCGCCACCCACTCACTCATTCCTTCATCCACCCGTCCATCCAAAAGAAAAACCCTTCAGAGATACCTGAGGCGCCAGGCACTGTTCGTGGCCCAGGAGGCTATCGGCCCATGCCAGATAAGGGCCAGATAAGGACCTGAAGCCCCGGGTTTTCCCTCCAACACCCTAATGAGGAGAAATCTGTATCACTGGGAAAAAAGGGGGAGGATAAGGACTTGGAGGTGATTTGTGCGATGTGTGCACCTGCCCAAGGTCACACGGTGAGTGGACAGCAGAGCCTGGACCTAAACGCAGGTCTCTCTGGCCGCCAGCCCATGGTGTTCGCAGAGAACACTCACATGTACCCATAATAACACAGAATTATGAGAGCTTGGGCCTCCCCTGGTGGCGCAGCAGTTGAGCACTGGGCTGAGAAGCTGCCTGCAGCCTCTGCAGCACCAGTTCGATCCCCAGCCACCGGCGAGGGTCCCACATGGTACGCAGACCTCTCCTGCCGCACCCACTGCTCCCCTCAGCAGTGTATTTCGTCAGTCTGCCTGCTCTGCTCCCCGCTCTGGCTCTGGTGAATTCTCTCACCCTCCCACGCTTCTCACTGTATCCAGTGCTTGTGTAAATAAATAAATAAATCTTTAAAAAAAAAAAAAAAGAATTATGAGAGCTGGGGTCCTGGGGGTTCAGCTCAATCTCCACCCGTAAGCACGGGACATGCTCATCTATGGGAAGTGGCAGTTTTCAAGCACATCTCACTTCTCTGACATACTTCCCACCTGATTCCCCTCCTGCCTACCATTCGCAGCAGGGCCTGGGATCCTGCCCGGCCCACAGCATGGGTATAGGGAGAGGCCTCCAGCAGGTGAGCAGGCTGACGCCAGCATCACATCACCCTCAACTGGTGGACACATGACTGGGAAGCTGTGCAGGACTCCCAGTTCCCACTACCTCTGACCACATCCTCAGAGACACAGGGGAACTGCCGCCCACAAGCTTATCAACCCCCACAGCTGTGGGAGGTGACAATAATAATGACCACTGTCACACACCAACTCACACGGCACAAGGTCAGCGGCAGTTACACACAGACACATCCACACATATGGGTACACGTGTGCATGTGATGTGGAGACACACACACAACACAGAGGTATTCAACAAAGTGTGGTGGCGGGGCTAGATGGACCAAAATATAGGCAGAAGTGATCGATGCACACCATGTTTTCTCTATTCTTACGCAAGCTAGTATCGTTATTTGCTAGCTGACTATAATGGCATTATTTTGGGTATCTAGACACGAGGCAAGGTCCACATATGTATGCACGGGGTCTCGTGTGGTTTACATACATACATGCACGCACACACACAATATGCATGCACACATGAAGCGCCTTTACCAGGAACTTCTATAAATTCATCTAAACCTCGTTAGATTCATTCTAACCAGGCCCACTGTTTCCAACGCTGGCATACATTCTGAATTCAGAATTCTTCAAATACCTGTAAGGCCTGCTTTTGGCTCATTCTTTCTTGCCATTCCTGTTCATCCTCCTCTTCCGAGCTGAAAGTCAAGCGTTCATTTACAGCATCTGTGATCCAGGGACTACGTATGAAGTGTTTCGCGAGTCAAGGTGCTGCTAGTTTTGGGGGTAACAACAGTGAAAATGACGGCAAGTGTGGCATGTGGGGCGGACACGGGCAAACGACCAGGACAGAGATTTCCATCTGCACGCAGAGAGAACGAGTGTTTTTAAAGAAGCGTTTACCTGTGTTTTTCTTCCTGCGGTAAAGGCGGCAAAGCGTAGATGTCATCTTCTCTCCGAACCTGGGTTAGACTAGGTAGCTCGTCATCTCTGAAAAGACACACAGGCTTGAGCGGAACGGGGAGGGAACAGCACTGAGTCCGTAAACTCCCCTCTGGCTACGTGACCCTGCTGAGGGGCTGGGGGGACCTCAGGGCAAACATGCCCTTTGCCTGCCCGGGTGGTTGCCCAGCCCCCACGGCTGTAGGAAAGAGGAGACGGGCTGGGCCCTGAGCACCAGGCCACAGCTCTGTGTGGGCACACAGTAGGGCAGCGAGAAAGCAGAGTGCCCGCTGCCCACACCAGTCCCTCCCCCTCACCATCGACATGATTCTCGGAGAACAGAGAATCCGCAGCCTTGAGTCACCAAGTTGGGGGACCTCCCGCCGCCTCCGCTCCTCTCACCCTCTCTCCTGCTGAGAGTTAACATTAAGGAAAGGGAAACCACAGGAATCCAACGCAGCACTGAACTGATTTTAAGTTCATCTTCTAGTGAGGGGGAGGGGTGCTGCTGCTGTGTGGCACAGACAGGGTGAGAGGCTGACACCTGACCCGGCCGGCACTAAAAATGGTGTCGCCTGAATACAAGCAGGAGGAAGAAGGAACCAAGTTTATTTTTTAAATGAATGTAATTTTCCTCCTGCCTTTTGCTTCTTAAGGCAGTTTTGAGAGCTTGTCTTTTCAAGAATGTTTTCAGAAGCTTCTCTGTAGTTTTTTTGGAGTCACTGGTGGCCAAATCCTTTCTCTGCCTTCTTTTGGCCTGTGAAAAGGAAGGAGATAGGGTTTTACCTCAGGGTACTAATAGCATATTACGTACACACATGTAACCTATATATATATGGCACATATACAGGCTTTGTGTGTGTGTGTGTATGTGTAAACCACATTTCTGCAATTTTCCCCATACAATTTGTTTCCTTCGGACTGATGGTCTTGGACCTTGTACTTCCTCTTGCTGCCGTCTCTGTGCCTATCTGCAGGTGTCTGTTATATAAACACACAGTCGCTTAATGGGCTGGTAGTACACAATATATCTGGATGACACATTGTTACTTACATTAACAACTTTCTTTTCGCTTCCTTTATTAACTTATTTTCTGCTTCCTTTAATGTCCCCAAGACACCTAAAACTTAGTGATAATTAAGCAAATGCTTCCCAATAGGAATTTTTTATACTAAAATAATGTATTCTTTCCATGTCACTCATGCCAAAATAATTGCTAATATTGGTTTTATAAAGAATGCATTACTAATTTGTAACTGCCCCTCAACATTCATGAGCAATTCTAAAATGCATAGAATTGCCTGGCAAGAAATGTCCCAGTAGGGAAATGGCAGCGCCTCTGTGTTCACAGCTGACCATTCTCATCCTTCCAGAGAGCACTTGACATAGAGTAGGTCTTGGATGATTATTCGTGTCTAGATCTTTTACTGAACCTACAGACGGTCCCAAGCATTAACAAACCCTCACTTTTACCTCATGTCCTCATTTATGCATGCATATCTATCCAATAGGATTATAACATAATGAGCTGGCAATTTCAGCACATAGAAGTCACACTATATCCTATGGGTGATGTCATGGGGGGACCAATTCACAATTACCCCAAAGTTCACATCATTCAAATTATTTTAAACTACTTTCAGAAGACAGAAGCTCTCATTCTTTTATATCCCATCTAACTTCCTTCCTTGATAAGCCAGGCACCACTTAACACTGCTCACTCCTAAGATCCAATTTAAGAGAAGCTTTTCTGTCACTGAGGCTCTTCAATGTCACGTTCCCCAGAGGTTTTCCACACGTTCTCAGCAACAACCACATCACTGCAACAAATGTAGACTATCGAAGAAACTCTCAAGGAATACCTCTGAATTGTAAGAAGAGTTGTACTAAAACTTAAATGTTTGCATTGCACCATGATATGCACTCATAAATAAACCTTCTTAAAAAGTGCTTATCTGTTCATAAAAATAATTTTATGATAAAAATAATTTTAAAAAACAGCTGAAATTAAACTGGCTACATGTCCAAGTAAGTCTTGGTTTCCAAAATTCTAGAGATAATAAATATTGTATGAGAACTTTTCTAAGAATGAAGAAAATAAAACAAACAGGTGACTCTTACCAAAGTCTGCTTCTTCAATAGCGGAGCGTCCCCATCAAAGACAAAAATAGGACGAATTCGAAAAAATAGGAGCTTGCAGAGCCGATGAAACAAAGTGAGAAGATGGGCATTTTCTATGGAGTTGCCGTGACGGTCCCGAACTCCTTTAAGAGCCTGGTTTAACCAGATGCTAATATCTGGAAGTATTGTTAATGGAAGAAACTTCGGAATTTCGCCCCTTACCCCACCATCTCAACTTCCTCATGGCTGATGGGCCTAAATGTTGAAACTCAGCAATCATTACAATTTACTGGAAATTGAAAAATGTTTGAACCCTGTAATTACTATTCACACACTGAATTTTAAAATCTTGCATAGACAGATGTGTCCTTTAAAGAGTCTAATGGCAAGGAATTGCTTCTTTAAAAAAAAAAAAAAAAAGCAAACTCGGGCCTCTGCGGTGGTGCAGAGGGTTGAGCGCAGCGCTGTGAAGCTGTCCGCAGCATCTGCAGTGCCGGTTCAATTCCCGGCTGGCCAGGGAGAATCCCACATGGCGCAGCAGACCTCTCCTGTCTTGCTCGCTGCTCCCCTCAGCAGTGCTTTCATTCCTTCTGCCTGTTCTGCTCCCTGCTCTGTCTCTGGTGAATCCTCTCACTCTCCTATGCCTCTGGCCTGTACACCAGCCCTTGTAGAAATAAAAAATAAAATCTTTTTAAAAAAAGAATGCTGAGATAATTAAAAAAAAAAAATCACAATTCTTACAGAAGTTTTAATAAGCTAGCCTAACTCTGCAGGAGGACAGTGCAGCAATTCATAGCAAAAATCACAAAAACCAGCACTCCAGGGGCTTGCCTGCTCTCACTCCTCAAGCGCTGGCTGCAGCAGCAAGCTCTCTCAGGCCTTTCTTCCCTCCTGTCTGCACTGGCTGCTCTGGGGACCCCAGTGGCCCCACCCCTCAGCCTCTCCTCAGGCAAGTGTCTGCCCCAGAGCTCTGGCCTGAGCCCCAGATCAGGTCCCAAGCTGCCACCTCTCCCTGACACCTGATGCACATTTCAAACTTAGGATCAGAACGGAATGTCTTCCCCTAGGTAGCTCATGCTCCCCTTTCAGTGACTGTCCCCCATTTACCCAGCCAGAACTCAAGGATCACAGACTCCCTTTCCTAGCCATTCCCATGCCCATCAATTCGACCTTCTAATGTCTCATGAAGGAGAACATTAGATTTCACCAACACATCTTCAGTGAAACCCTTTCGAAAGTCTCCCATCACCCTGTCTCCCATCACCACATCCAAAACTTCTTTTCAGGATTTGAATGAAGCTTCTCAAACACAGATACTGAACATACGTATGATTAAAATTCTAAGTCAGAGAGATCTTTTTTTCTTAGTTAAACACAGGTAGTGCCAATTCTCAGCTAGGAGGGAGAGTTCCAGCTTGAAATCTTTAAAAATATATATGTAAAACGAGGCAAGCTGAAAACATTTCCATAATTCAACTTATGTCATTTCAGTAATTTTATATAAGGAAAATGTATCCCAGGGTTGGAAAAGTTAAAATCTGCTGCAAAGCCAAGATAAGACATGAAGAGCCAAGACTATTTTGAAACCAAAAAAAAACCAACTCATTTCTATTGTTAGGTAAACCAAAATTTAATAAATCCCCAGTAGGCATAACCTAAGGAGAATACACTAGCTTTCTAATAAACATGAGTGTATTTTTTTAATATTAAGGTCCGTAAGAGACAAGAGTTGAACAGTTCATTCTTCACTGACCCAAACATTAGACTATATAAATCAACAGGACATTTGGCAATAGACGGTAAAAGACCAAACAATATATTTTAAAGATGTAGGAGTGAATTATGAAGCTGATGTAGTTAAGGGTAATTTTTTTTCACAAAACAAAAAAATACAAGTGTATGTCAGACATTTGGATTTGAATTCCCATGGAAAGGAAACACAGCAAAGCCAACTGTAGAACAAATAATCTCCTTTATGTAAATACGAGGCTATCCTTACCCAGGAGCGCCTTAGACAGTCCTCCTTAAATGATTTCTTTCCAAAAAGTCTAAGATCCCATGAAAACGACTCCCAAAAGATCCTCTGAGCTATTTCAAAATAATTGAGTCAAATGTTTTTCTTTCCTTTCTTTGGACAACTTCCTAAAAAGAGGAGGAAGATGTTGGACTTCATGTGTCCACTTAGTGACTTTGCAAATTACTAACTCTTCATATGGACGGCAAGATGAAGGAGCCTAAATCTTCACTGAAATGTTTTTAAGGATGGCTGCCTCTGCACGCTGAAAATCCACTCACACAGAAAATCCTTAAAAGCGGTGATTTGAGGACCCACGAGAGGGCAGCAGCAGCAGCACAAGAGATTTTCGGAGCCTTCCCTGGCCGCCCGCCGCAGAGCACCCAGCGCAAAAACTTGTAAGCCAGTCAAAATTTGTTACATACGTATTTCAAGATTGTTCACATTGCAACAAAATATAACAGTCTTGCTCTTAGAAAAGCTCCTTTCGCTGAATTCCCACCTATTCTCATGCTGCATGTGCCACCCCCTGGCGATTATGCCCAAGGGCCCTCTCCACCGGCTCCCCTGGGGGGAACAGGCTGGTGTGAGGACGACACCCCCAGCTTCTGCTTCTGCAGGGAATGGACACTCCTAGAACTTAAGGTCGCTTAAGGAATAAAAAGATGCCAATTGCAGAAACACCATTCGTACGTTTTGATAAAGAAAAACGGGTCATTTCCAAAGACACGAATCAAACCAGCCAAACAAGCTGGCACACAACTCCCAGGGGTCCCTCTCAGGCTGGGAGGAAAATAATACACTGGCTGCTCGTGAAGTCTTTCCGGGGCTCTGCCACAAGACTTTCCTAGCCCCAAAATCCTAATTTCATTTTATTTTTTAAATAGATTTATTTATTTATGCATACAAGAGCTGGGGTACAGACCAGAGGTGCGGGGGGTGAGAGGACTCACCGGAGACAGAGCGGGGAGCATAACAGGCAGATTGAGGGGAGCAGCGGGGAGACAGCGGGGTCTGCCGCGCCGTGTGGGTACCTCCCTGGCCGGCGGGGATGGAACTCATGCTGCAGAGGCTGCGGGTTCTTCCCAGCGCGGGGCTCAACCCCCTGCGCCGTACTCATTTTAAACGCTACCTAGGTTATCGGGCAGCCCCGATACAAAACGGGGTGCCTGACTGTGGGTCCTCTCCCCCTAACTAACACCCACACCGAAATGAACGAGCCAAACACCCGCTCACATCGCCCTTCCTGAGGCAGCAGCAGGCACAACAGCGGTGGGACGCGCCCCCCGCGCCGGCTCCCCGCGCCCTCCGGGCTGGGGCACCTCCAGGCCCCCCAAGTGGACAGGCGCGGCCCGGTTCCCGGCTTCTCCCGCTTAACCGCCCTCCGCGGCGGGCCCCCGCGTCCCTGCACCCTGCGGGCGGCGGTCGCGGCGCCGGGGGCCGAGGGCAAAGCCGGGGCCCCGGGCTCCGACCCCCGCGCGCGAGGCAGCGCCGGACCAGCAGGTGCGGGGCGAGGGGGGGGGCGCCCCGGGGATGGGGGGGCCGCCCGCGCCCCCCGCCGCGCCGGCGCGAAGGATACCCACGGCCAGGACCTTGCCCTCCAGCGTCTCGGGGTTCACCGGCCGCCCCGAGCACTCCAGCAGCTTCCAGAGCCCCTGCACCCCCATGAGGCCGCGGGGCGCCCCCGCTGGGGCTCGCGGGCAGCCCGGGGGTCCGGAGCGCCGGCGCGCGAGACCCGCCCCGCCCGGCGGCTCACGCCGCCTCCCGGAAGGCCGACGAGCCGACGCTGGCCGCGGGGGGAGCAGCGGCCCCGGGCGTCCCGGCCCCGCCAGCCGCGCTGGCCGGTGAGGGACGCAGACGGCCAGGAGAGGGCCCTGGACGCCGCGGGGCCGGCGCGTAGGGCAGCGAAAGGGCGCCTCTCGGCTTCCGTCAGGGCGGAAGTCCCGCCTCCTTAGTGACGTGTTTGGAGGCGAAGGCGCCGCGAGGGCGGAAGTCCCGCCTCCCTCGTGACGTAAATTGGCGGCGCCCAGGGCACTCCGGAAGTGAGGGGCCGTCCCGCCCCCGCGGCGTGTCGGGCTCCATGGCGCGTGCTCCACGCTGGCAGCCTGGCGCCCACGTCCGGGCGCCTTGGTGCAGATGCTGCCGGCATTTTCGGTATCAGTTTTCCCAGGAGCCCAACAGTTCTGAAAGCTTAATATATATGTGGGGTTACTCATGAAGCGGCCGCTGGAAGGTGCGGGCTTTGTTGGTGTTTGTAAATTACCGGGTATTTTTTTGTCCAATAACTTGTAGTAACTAGGGTAACACCAAATAGCACGTTACACTTTGAACTAAGGTTTATTTTAACCCAGCGTTTAACATTTAGGAGTTCACGCTTGTAGAGCGGAAATAAGCTTAAAGGCCGGAGTAGCCCCTGGAAAGGGGGTGACTCAACCCCTCAGGCCAGATCCAGAGCCCTCCGCACCCCCAACTGAGTGTCCAGCGTTGTTCAAGTCACGTTCGTTCAGCCTTCCGTTTCTTTATCTGTCAGCTAGGCAAAAAACCCATCCTGCAGGCTCCTAGCAAGGCAATGTATGCAAGGTGGGCATTTGAGTACTCTAAGTGTTAGGGGGAAAAGGATGTCCCAATATCGGGGGTTGCTCTATAACATAAGTGCTTCTAAAACTGGAGCAACATTTCTTGAAAGTAAAATACTCTTCTGTAAAACAGCATCTAAGGATATCTATTTGATTTATCAATACAAGGAAGTGACTCTAGATACTTTTGAAAGAACTCACCTAGAGGATGAACACACCCTTTAGAGAAGTAATAGCAAGCACTTAAGTAGCAACTCCCAGCTACAGGCACTGTTCTAAACACTTAACGTATATTCGTATGCTTCAAAACAAGTCATAAAATAAGTACTGTTAACCCCATTTTACCAATGAAGAAATAAGCACAGAAAAATGAAAGTTCAGTTGCCCAAGGTGACAAGCTGGCTAGTGCAGAGCTTCAATGGAAACTCCTAAGAGCAGTACACCAAGAAATTAGACCAGGAGTGTTACCAATTTTGAGTGAGAGGAGTACAGGGATTTGCTCCGTTTCTGAAAAAAGCAATCACTTAAACCCCAGGATGCTCTGAGTAGCTGCCAAACTTTTATGTGAAGTTATTAAGTGATCATATTTATTGAGACTGATAGAAGTGGACTGTGGTCAATAGGCAATTTGTATCATCTTTCTTAGATGTCACTGTATCCTTTTATTTCTTATTTTATGTTACATTTTGCTTTTCCTTGTGGCTCTTCCTACCTACTTCTCTGAAACGTTTGTTTGCACTGTATGGAATTTCTGAAATTCAACTATGTTTGACCTACAGAAATGACAACTTCATTTGGTTCAAGTTAACAGAATGACATATAAAGTCTTATAGAGATCTAAAGTTAAAGTCCTCGTGATGCAGATTATCTCTTTGGTTATAAAAGTCAGGTACAAGGTGGTTTCTTTTAACATACTAGTTAGTATTGACCAATTATTAAGGGCTTCGAACAAAATGGTAAGGGTGCTGCCTGCCTAAAACAAAAGTTCAAAACATTCACATGACTAAAAGTAGAAAACAAAACTTTATTTGATGGAAACATCTTAGAAGTTCCAGTATGAAGTAACAAAACCAACAACCTACACATCTTTCAGTCTTTTGCATTTCAAGCAAAATACTCTCTTCAGGAAAATGACCATTTCATCATATATCTCCCCTTCTGTAGGCTAGGCATGTTTGAATGGATAAATGGATATAAAATTCAAAGGAGAAGAAAATGAAAACATTTAAAAAATAAAATCTGAACCCTCTCCTTGAGGTGTATTGTGATATGGTTTCCAACATATCCAGCACCTTGTAATAATCACGTTACTGATCTGAGTCCTGGAACAAGCCCTTAAAATGAAAGAACAAGAGATCCTACTTATTGGTGAGTCACAGTTGTCAGCAGAAGAGAAACTGACAGCAGCTAGACAGGAGCTCAAATGTATGAAACCCGCACATTGTGAACTACACACTCAGCTTGCTTCAAACAGCTCACCGTCTGGAGGGTTTAAAAAGGAAACCTGTCAGAGTTGGCAGGTGACAGTTGCCTGCAAGGCAGGTGGCTTCCTCATGCCTCTTCCCTGCTATTATCAACCCATGACTCCAGGTTGAGGACCAATCAGTTATCAGGGGATCCCGTTTCACAGATCACCTTGGGCATGGAAACACTGAATGCCACTCATTCTTTATTCTGTCCCTACAAGGTCTATTCTAGACTTACAGAGGTCTCTCCAGACCTAAAGTCCTACTATTTGATAGTAACACACCAAGTGAAGAAAGCCAAGAATACCCTGAAACAACGCACTACGTCATCCATTCGCACCAATAGAAAAGATCCACTTCTTGGGTCTCTTTTGCCTCTTTATTGAAAATCCTGAGAAAGTTAACCAGGAAAGAAATGAGGCAGGCAAGAGACAACTGCAAATAAAGGAATTACTAGACTCACTAACTAATTTTAAATGAGATTTAACCCAGCGGGAAAACTAGAACGCGATAGCCCCCGGTCTGGTTTGGTTTTTTAAGGGCAAATGGCACCCTCTTGAGCTTAGAATGAGCTATGCAAAAAATGTCTGGAGGCCCAGCCATAAGAAATCATTTCATGCTGAAGTATTTCAAATCATGATGCTATTAGTGAATTTGTTTTTAATTGGTTTATATGCAATTTTATTGGATGTCGTGAGATGATCCAGAATGTCTATATATACTTTTACGTTTAAAAGGACAGTCATCTGTGCTTATCTGCTTATCTACCTGAAATCCTCCATCACACTCACACACGCTAATTACTGGAGGATGACGAGGTTACGTTTTGAACCACACAATCTGTTCCTATGTAACAGGGACTGCACGCGATCTCCTGTCTCAGCGCCCTGGCGGACCAGCTGTGTGCACAGCGCAGGCTGCCTCCTACCCAGCGTCGTCAGTCATTCCCGTCATAGTCACTATAACCCTGGTAACCACTGTTCCTTCTCTCATGGATGCTGGACATCTTTTTCCACGCTGAGTCCTGATGGAAACTAGCACTAAAAGACCGCCCCAGACGTCCGTGGTGCTTCTTGGAGATGTTGTCTTCACTCTCAGATTTGGCAATTCCCTGGCCATGTGTTGGAGGTTGTGAATCTTGTCTGATGCTTCCAAATGGAAAGTTCCAAAGACCAAATCTTTGCCAACTGAGTCTCTGGAATGCTATGATGCAATGCAGGTTACCCCCAACCTGAGAAGAAACAAAGTTGAGTGAAGAAAAGGATGGGAAATGAATTCTACTGCTGTGTGGACTCCTGTGAATTCCCACATTCCCCTCACCCGCCTTAAAAGAGTACCTTTCCCTCAGACACCATTAGCTCATAGGGTCTTGCGTCTTTCCTGGCCAGCTGCCTTTATGAAAACATAGCAATGCCCACAGGATCCAAAAGGCCTTTCCCAGATGCCTCCCTGCCACCCTCCTCTCAGTCCAGACTACAAAACTGGGCCTCGGTCAGGCCAGTGTGAGTCTAGAAAGTTCATCTGACAATAAGACATAAACTGTAAGATGGTCATTTTCAGGAGATACAGAAACAAAAAGATCAGAACTACAAGTAAGTCCCGAAAGAATGCGACAGCCTAGGCCGTGGCCTTACTAGCGATCTATGGGCTGACGCCGCCCCTTCTGAGCCCAGGCAGTGGGCAGCATCCTCTCGGTTTAAGGCCCCTGTGTCCTTAATATCATTTTCACTTTGCTTTCTCAGATGGCCTGAACTGGGATTCTGTTCTCCGCAGCCTAAGAAGCGCTGGGGAGACTCTACATTTTGGTGAGTTGAGAAACAACTTTCAATGTGATGCTGCCCTTACCTTCTTTGTTTTTCGATACTGTAGCCCCCTCTCTAAGTGCCGGATATCTAGATATTCTGGGTTTTGAGTGTTTAGATCAGTAACAATATCTGCCCATCTAGAGTAAAAAGAAGAAGAGAGGACAGTTTTCTTTAAGTACCAAATACCATAATAATAGAACCTTCCCCAAAGTAGCTTGCTCCGGTGTTACCATGGTAATAATGCACTCAGGACTGTTCCACCTAATAAGCTTTAATATTTTTTCATTTTGATGACAAAGACTATACTTTCTGGGGTTATTTCTATAGTTCTTTACAATTTTGATGAATTTTATTTGTCCAAGGTTCTCAGTTTAAATTGTTACTTTCCCTATGAAATCTATATGTCTACTATTAGATGACATTCCACGGGTTAAGTAGAAGCAGACCACACTTCCTTTTCAGTCAGTACATTTTCAAAAGATTGGTCAGACAGCATGATGACTGCACGGAATATCCAAAGTAACTGCAGTGACTCTGGATGGCAAAACTATGACTACAATAAGTAAATTTGATTAATGGGCAATATTCAAGGCCTATAAAGAAAAATCAACTGTATTTTTGTAGACAACCAGAAAATAACTGGGAAATGAAGTTTTAGAAGTTTGTAGTTCATAAATTTATAATACATAAAAAAAAAGACAGGCCTGGGCTGTAACTCTTGGGAATGATATTTCTGAGTACTGAGGTGAACATGTGCAATTCACTAGAGAGTAGCCTTCAGTGTTCTCACCACACATGGGAGGCAGTGAGCTGACAGATGGGTTAATTAACTAACACTTGATTGTGGTGATCATTTACTGTGTGGTGCAAGGGGTTAAGTCTCAGTACTATGAAGCTATCAGCAGCTATGGCAGCACAAATTCAACCCCTGGCCAGGGAGGTGACCCACATAGAGCAGCAGACCTCTCCTGTCTCCCCGCTGCTTCCCTCAGCAGTGTGTTTCAGTAGATCTGCCCGTTCTACTCCCCACTCTGTCTCTGGTGAATCCTCTCACACATACTCCCCCACACACCTCAGGCCTACACCCTAGCTCTTGTATGCATAAATAAATAAAATAAATTTTTTAAAAATTGTGTCGATCAAATCCGTATAAAACACACTTTAAATAATCACAATTTTATGTGCAACTGTACCTCAATAAGCCTGGAAAAATATACACTTTAAATAAACTTAAAATTTTTGAGTAAAAAGAAAAAGGACTGACAATATCCAGTATGGGTGAAGAAGTGACAAGTAGCTGGAATGCTCCTGCCTTGCTGGTGGGAGTGATGGTATAGCCACCTTGGAGAACTTTCTAACCTATAAATCAGCAATTCCACTCCTAGACATCTATCCAAGAGAAGCAAAACATATAAACATATGTCCTCAAAAGACTTGTATAAGTGTGGCATATCCATACATCAGAAAGTTACTTAGCCACATCAAAAAATGTAGTTCCGACCCACATTATGCCATAGATGATCATCAAAAACATTATTGTAAGTGAAAAAAGGCAGACACAGAAGCCCACAGACTGTGTGATTCCATTTCTATGAAGTGCCCACATTAGGCAAATCTGCAGGGACAGAAGGGAGCTTAGTGGTGGCAGGGGGTGGGTAGGAGGGGCAGCGGGAACACAGCTAATGGCTGTGGGGTTTCTCTTGGGGATGAAAATGGTCTGGAATTAGATAGTAGTGATTGATGCTTAACTCTATGAATACACTAAAATCCATTGAATCCATTTTGAAAGGTTGGATTTCATAGCTTGTGAGTTAGATCCCCAATAAAGCTGCAATTTCAGTTTTTTAAAAAGAGGTAAACATGAGTGTTCCTAAAAGCTTCAGTCACAACAGACCAAATCAAAACAATCCAATGAATTGGATTGAAATGTTCATGAAGGAGACATAGGGTGATGAGTTGCAGTTCCTGAAACAGCTCAATACCAATCAGAATTTTTTTTTTAAAAAAGGAAGTAATACAAGACAAAACAATGAATCTCAAATGTTACATAATGAAAAGAAGCCAAACACAAAAGACTATTGTATGATTCCATTTACATGAGGTTCAAGAACAAGCAAAACAAGTCTGTGGTGTCAAGTTCCCGCAGAGGTTGTCCCTGGAGCTGGAGAGTGCGCACGGGGACTCGTCATGTTGACAACATGCCCCCTGTGTCGAGTGGGTGGTGCTCACGCAGGTGTAATCACTCACCACCATCCAACAATTCACAGCCATGCACTTTAGTATATGTCAGCCTTAGCTAGATTAAAGGGGAAAAAGAATTTACATACTTTTTACAGTGAATAGCAGGATGTTTTCTACTGGATTCTCCAATTAAGATCCAATATTCTACTTCTTGTGAAGACAGGGGACCTCTGCTAAATATAAAATAGATTCACAAAAGCTTAATAAAGGCAGTCACTTCTTGACCATATCACTTCCACGATAAAAGATACTACATGGCTCAAAGAAGCCATTCATTCATGCTACAGGAGGCAGATTATAGAGCCTGGGCTTGAGTCAATTTCTAAAGGCCTTGAAGAGAAAGCATCAATTAAAGTTTGGTCTTAACCACCTATTACAAAATGTAGTGCTGAAACTGTTGAAATATTCCACTTTTCAGCCTCTAGGAAGAAAAAATTCCTAGCATGCTACCAGCATTCTCTAGCTATCCCTTTCCTTTTTCATTCAAAAAGTTCTAAATCATCCTAAACATAAAACTGTACAGCTGTAACTCACCTGTGAACCCTGTAAACATACACAGACCTGAATCCCGTCCCGGAAGTTCTCATCCACACAGGTCTGGAGAAGAACCCAGGCAAGAACAGAACATTTTGAAAGCAGCCCCGGCGAGTCTTGCTCCGGCAGACCTGAGACCCCCTCCTCTCCAGGGACAGAAGCAGGAGAGCCGGCGTCCCCATGTTTTACACTTGGTTGGCGCCTGGCGTAAGCGCTTCAGGATTTGGAAAGACCAAATAGTTTCCCTCTTGCTTCACAAAATTACAACGTCTACCTTCCTGGTTCTCACAGCCCCTCCGCCTGTCTCGGGACTGTCAGTCCCCACCCTCTCTGCTATGCCCTGAATGGGCCGCAAGGCCTGCAGCCTCAGAGAATCCATCCTGTGCCCAGATGACCAAGCCAGGCTCTCCCAGCCTGACCTCCAGCTCCCCGAAGGGGCAGCGCTGTCTCGCTTCTGCCATTGCCAATGCCACTGACCCAGATAATGGGGGAATACTGGTAAATTCCATGTTTCCCCCATGAGAAAAGAAGATACTGTGTAATGTGCTCAGTTGTGACAAGCTAGATCCCGTAATCCATTGTCCACCGGGGCACTGGAAGAGGACACCAAGACATAACATGTAACGTCCTCAACAGCTGCTTTATACTAAGCATACATTTTTGACTGTCTTTCTCCTGACACAACACTGGGCAGTACTCAAGTGGACAGGAAAGGCATGGTTAACACCACACAGTACTGCAGAAGCACACGCGAGAAGGTTTAAAGGACATCTGACCTCAGTCTTCCCAATTCTATGTGACTCCCTATTTCTACCAGTTCCTACAATACAATTTCCTAGCAAAGCAGACATGCTTACCTGAATGCTTTATTAGCTTTGACAGGCGTTGCTTCGAAGCCTATTGGGCAAAAGTAATGATTTTGGCAATGATAGATAAAAGCCAGTGATTCATCTTTCAGTCCATGAGTCAACTTCGATAAAGCCCCCGAGGCTACAAAGAAAAAAAAAACAAAACTGAGAAACCACAAAGAGCCTTACAGGAATGACTTGTGAGGGACACAAGACAGGCCTTGGGACTCAGTGACACTGTCAGGAAAGCAAGAAGCCATTGATCGACACAAAGAACATCTGTGAATTCGATTTTAGTCTTACCCTATAGACTGAAACTCAGATACAGCAAATACAGCAAAGTAAAACACTGAAATTCACACCGCTTACCAAAACCTTCTAAGAACGCACACACTTATCTCTTAAATACAGTTAGTGTGTGAAATCTAACCCTCACATGGACACCGTGGTCTTCAATGGCTGGCCACATCTCTCACTGGAAATTTCTGAATGAGCATTTTTGTTTCTAAACTATACATGCGCTTTTAGAAAAGATATACAATGGCTGGAATTTCAAAATTAGATTAAAACATTGACACGCTAATGGTGCTCCCCAGGCCATGCTGCCACCTTGCACAGCTGGGGGAGAGGGGCATGCACCCCAATTTGCAGGCCTCTGATGTAGAAGGATAAATATAAACTCTAGATGATGAACAAGTTTCAAAAATGCAAACTTTCTCCCGTGAACACACAAGCCCAGTGATGAGGCAAGGAACACTCCAGAGACAGGCCCATGGTATCGGGGCTACCACTGAGGCAGAGGTGGTGCCTGGACATCCTCACCTAACAGTGCCTCCTTAGCCATATTAGTTGTGAAGACATTTCAAAAGCATTACTACTAAGAAGTATGTTTTGACCAGCACTCAATATTTCAAGTCATTAGCTGAGGTTTCATTAACTTGCATCTCCTGGAAAAAAACTAAATTATTCATCAACAAATGGCCCATAAAAGTCGAAAACCTAAAAATAGCTGAAGTACTTGAAAGCTTGCAAGCCACGGTTTCTCTGATGGGTTTTCTGGTCACTAAGCTGCAGACCACTATGACCAGCAGGGGGCGCTATAGTGGGGACAAGGAGGTGGGACCTCATCTGCACCCTGCAGACCCCACATGACCACGCCAGGCCCAGTTTAAACTTCCTGTCCAAGGTTTCCCCTAGATCATCTCTGATTTTCACTTTTGGCTTCCCATCAGGGCGAATCTGCCCACCAGGCAAACTTTTCTGCCAAAATCTCTATTTCCTAAGGACAACTGAGAGGTCTTTCTGCAATTTTTGGTTGAGTTTCCCTGACAGTTTTCAAAATGATCCCCAAGGGCAACTCTTAATGAATCACAAGAACTAAAATTCAGAAGAGAGTGAATATTTCATTTCCATAATTGAACTTGACTGCACATAAGGGCCAGAATGGTAAGAAAATAAAGCTGTGTGGAAGTAGATGCCTAAGAAATTCGATAATTACAAAACATGTTATAATTGACTTGGAAAAACTCTTGAAATCTTCAAAAAATATGAAAATGCCAAATGAAAGAATTTTTATTATAGCTTTTTAAGTCTTATTTCACACTTGGCCTTTTTCAGTCAAATGGATTTGAAAGCAGCTGACTTGTAGTATAACTATGAAGCACAATCACTTTAATGTCCTGGACTGTAGTAAGGATTTCAGGGACAAAGGAGCTAGGTACGAAAATTTGCTCTTATTATATTAACATCATTTTGTCTGCTGCAAACGTTCCTCGGTCAGGTCCTGGTGTTCTAGAAGACACAAGGTAGTATTTCTTCTATGGAGTAACATTTATGGGCTTTGTGCTACTCAGGAAATTTTATTTCCTTATTCAAGGTATTTAACCAAATGCACTAAATTAACTTAAATTCTGATTAATTTAGATTAGAGACCAGCAAACTTTTCTTAAAGGGTCAGAGAGCAACTATGTGGGGCTGTGGGTCATGGGCAGGCAGAAGACTCACCTTTGCCCTCCTGGTGTGAAAACATTCATAGGCGATGTGTAAGCAGATGGACATGGCTGTGTCCCAATAAATCTTTATTTACAAAACAAGTTCTGGCTCATGGGCCGTAGTTTGCCAACCTCTATTTAAATCAATCATTTACCAGTGTTTTTTGACATGGAACCTCTTCTGCCTGGAGAGTTCACATGCAGGCTAGTCCATAAAATGGGTCAAAGCAGAATTGCTGTGGCCTAAAAGGAGGTAGGGAACTGTGGGCCCCACCTCACTCCCCCAACCACAGACTCCCCCAGGCTCAGCCGAGGCCATGAGAAGGTAGCTGACTTTGCTATCAAAAGAAGATCAAGCTCTTGATAAGGAGGCTGGGCAGCAGCTCTTCAGAGAGAGCACAGCCGCAGTTCTCATACAGGAGCACGAAAGTTTTGTTAAACCACAGAGTGGCAGTTACCCCCCACCAAGCATCTGACCCAGTAGGTCTGGGGTGGGGACCAAGAATATGCATGTTTATTCAGTTACCAGGCGATACTGATATTGATCCAGGGAAGCACTGGTCTAAAGAGAGAATTTTCATTGAATTCAATTTGGTCAGCCATTCACGAGCACGTGACTGACTAGAGCAGAAACTGCAGGGACAAAAAAGAAAGTAATAACCAGTCCCCAAGCCGCCCTCCAGAGAAGAAAACAAGTAACCTCATAGAGGGTGGAATACAACAGTGCCACAAAAAATTCAAAGGAGAAAGAGCACATCAGGTTCAAGGAGTCAAGAAGGGGGGCATCCAGGATGGAACTTAATGCAGTAGCGGGGTTCCAACGGTCCAAACAGAGGAAAGAGTGTGAGGGAAAAACAAAATCACTGGAGGGGAGGGGTGTCACAGCACAGCTGGGTGTCTGCTCAGAATACAGGGTATGAGATAGAAGAGGCCTACCGTCCAGCACCCCCAGAATTTCAGGACAAGACCAGAAAAAGATCACCCTCTGAAATAAAAGACAGCAAATACAGTATTTAATACATTAAAACAGCCATCCCAGAAAGCAATTCTAATTTTTTTAAAAAAAGGTATTTATTGATGGAAACTAAATACAGAATGATGTTCAATCTAGATCAGAGTATATCTAAGAATTCTGAAACTTAAAGAGCAAAGCACCCACTGCAGGGAGAAAAAAAGAATGACTCGAATTAACTGAACTGCTGTGAGGAACAGATAGATGATGACGCCTCTCTCCAGGAACAAAATATGTAGACATAGGAAATGTGCCATCATGTCAAGAAAATAAGCATAAATACATACAATATAAAGGCTTGAAAAGAACACATTCTTCACTGGAATTAAGTTGTGAACCCTAAGTAACCCCACTGTGGTTAAGATATCAAAAGATCTGCCAAGATAGGTAACTCAAGAGTTTCCAGAGATAGAAAACAGGGATGTAAGGAGGGCCTCACATGGTTTAAGGCTGGCCTTTGTCAAGAGGGGTTCTGCTTAATCTCCAGACAATGTAAGGCTCCCCTTTAAGGAGGCAGCTGGGACTGCCCAAGATGGGCAGAAACTAGAATATGAAACCCAAAATATGTCTCTTTGACATAAAAATTATCTTGTGCTGAAGGCAACTGAGAAGCATGAATGAAGGAAAAGCTCTCACTACCCTTTGCTTTTCTTCCTAAAGGCAGGAGGGAAATTGTCCTTTAACCACAGACAGACTTAGAACCCGGAGATGAACCGAAGGGAACTTCTCCATCAATTTCCTCCCACATATTTACCTCCTCATGCTTCGGCCCTTGGAAGCCTGAAACTGGTCTTGTCCTGTCATTTCTCTACAAATGTACTATTTTTTTATTGAAAACAAATTGGCCGCACAAACCAATTTCTAAGCCACAGCTCTGAACTACATTTTATTGAGGTTTCTCCTATCCTCTACATCTCCCATAAGTTACTTATTAATCTGTTTATTTGTTTGATTGTTTGTTTGTTTGCTAAAGGTTGCCCTTGAAAACCTAAGATGGGGGCCTCCCCCGGTGGCACAAGGGGTTAGGACACATCCTATGAAGCGATCCTCAGCCACTGCAGCATGAGTTCGATCCCCGGCCAGGGAGCTACCCACATGGCGCAGCAGACTTCTCCTGTCTCCCCGCTGTTCCCCTCAGCAATGGATTTCAGTCAGTCTGCCTGTTCTGCTCCCCACTCTGTCTCTGGTGAATCCTCTCACCTCCACATCTCTGTCCTGTACCCCAGCTCTTGTATGCATAAATAAATAAATCTTTTTTAAAGAAAAGAAAACCTAAGATGAGCAGAGGCACAGTGTGGGTCCCCTACAGAGTCCAAAAAAGAGCCCATGTAAAGCTGGGACATCATAAAACTACCCACCTCCCCTAAAAGGGGAAATCAGTAACAAATTTATCCCACAGAATGGGAACCGAGGAAATCTCCTTATCTGAATTTTGCATTGAGAGACAAAAAATTCCTCTAAGAATTCATCATCATAAACTAGTACAAAGATGTTACCAGTGCAGTCTAAAAAAAAAAATCCTCAATTAGAGAATTTAGATAAAAAATGGTCCCAGTCTTCAGGATATAGGCAAAATATAATGCTAATCTTCTCTGAAGATTCCCAGAGATTCTTGAAGTCTCAAAGCTTTGTCAAGGAAAAAAAAAAAAAGAAAAAAAAAAAAAAAAAAAGCTTTGTCAAGAAAAAGGCTCAGTTAAACAGATTACAGTTTTAAAAAGTCAACAAATGCCATATTACTTCCATAAAAAATTAAAACAAGTAAAATACTAACAAAATAAAAACAAATAAGTAAACACACAAGGAAAAAAGATACCACAAAGTGAGATTCAGAAGAACCAAGAGACAGTAGAATCAGATACAAACTTCAGATGTTAGATCAAATATAGAGAATAAAAAGGTTTTAAGATAATAAAAAATGAGAGCACAAAAATAGGAGTAAGGAACAAGGGAGTTTTTATTAAGCAGATTGGAAAAACTAAATATTTCTGGAATGAAAACATTTTTTTCATTTTTTCAACACAAACTCAATGGAAAATTGTGAGGAAAAAAAAGCAAACTAGACACAGCTGAAAAGAGAATCAGCATCCTGGAAAGTATATCCATGATTACTTTTTAATTGCCTGATCAATCACCTAGAGCCATATGCCAACAATCTCACTAGAAACAAAAACACACTAACATGTCATTGAAAACAGCCCTCACCTTGGGAACTGGCCCCCTGCAAATACACAGAATCCACTAGTAAAAATAATAACCACCAGCTATTGAATCACACAGAGTGTATGTGTATCACAGATGTCTCCTTCCATCTTCACAGTGACCCTCTGGGGTGGGTACAAATATGGAAAGGAAAACTGGGCACTAGGTCCAGCTAAGAGCCTGGTCCAGGGTTGCAAAACCAGTGAAGACAAGATGTGAACCCAAGTCTGCTGACTCCTAACCACCTCGGTATACCTGAGAAAGGTCAACAGAAATGTATCTTCCTCTACGCTCAACACTTGACCTTGGGCAGCCATACAGCCTCTCCACCTACAGACTCTCACCTTGAGGAATCCTACTCAACAGTTTAGAGAGAATCCAAGCTCCCTTTAATGTATTTGGGGTGAAGCCCAACCCCCCCCCATTGTAATTCCCATTGCAATAGTCTTGAATAAAGTCTTTCTAACCATTTTAACTAGAGTCTGCATAATTTCATCTTTAACACTGTGTTATCACTTCTTTGATTTTTAAAGTTAAAAGATTAGGCCTCCCTGGTGGTGCAAGGGATTAAGATGCAACCTATGAAGCTGTCCGCAGCCTCTGCAACATGAGTTCAATCCCCGGCTGGCCAGGGAGCAACATACATGGCGCAGCAGACCTCTCCTGTCTCGCCTGCTGCTCCCCTCAGCAGTGTATTTCGTCAGTCTGCCTGTTCTGCTCCCCACTCTGTCTCTGGTGAATCCTCTCACCCTCCACACCTCTGCCTGTACCCCAGCTCTTGAATACATAAATAAATCAATCTTAAAAAAAAGATTACTATGTGATTTTTTAAATGGAAATAGTCAAGTAATTTAAATTATTTATTTAGCTAAATAACTAAAGCCCTAAGAACAACTCCATTACTCTGTTTTGAGCAAGATTATTTTACAACAGAACTTTGTCACTTTCCCACTTCACTGTCCTGTTGGCATAAGTTATTAGGTACATCTAACGTCAAATATTTAAAACCCTTAAATTTCCTTTTAGAAAGAGGAACAATAAATTCCATGCTATTTCCTGAGAAAGTTTTTCTAGCTCAGGCACACACACACACACACACACACACCATGGTTCCAAACAATATGTTAGTGTTTACAATTTAAAACATGCCTTAAATTCTAATTCTACATGCAAAGATGAGAAGACCTAAAAATAATCACGGTATATTGGAGTGCTCTATGGAGTATATTGGAGTAGCAATACAGATTGCTACTATGATTTGCCCCTTAGATAAAGATATGTAAAAATAATAGACTGTGTTCAGGATCTATATAATGTCTTGTGAATCAAAGCAGTCAATTTCTAAGATGAATTATGTGTGAAAGAGAGACAGACAGACAGAGATAGAGAGACACAGAGAGGATGTGTAATTCCTCTCTGTGATTACCTACCAGTTTCTCCAGCTGTTTTATTCTTCCCATGAGGCTTATAGAGAACATAGGAGCATCCTTTTACATGGAAATGATCATTAATTTGTCTGAACCATCTGAAAAAGAACAAGAAGATCTGCTCATGGCAACAGTTCTGTTACAAAGATGGCATTCTACCAGTTCTAGAGAAATTCAGGCAGAGACCAAGTTTGACCTCCTAAAGGCTGGGGCCCAACAGCTGGATATATGGTTTACTACCAACCCTCTACAGCATTATTACTTTACAGACTAGAAATAAGGTATTACTTCTTAGCGAGGGCTTCGTACCTCATAAGTGTTGTATTTCCAGTGAAAGGGCCAAACCTAATATCTTCAAATGGGGGTTGAAAGCCCAAAATATGTAAAGCTTCTTCTTGGGTAATAGGTGGAAGACTACAAAAGAAACATTGCCTATCATTTTACAATTCCAATCATATGCAAATATAACCTTTCTCTACATTAATACATCTGATTTGCAAACCATAGTAGTAATATTTTTATTTTCTACTTTATCAAAAATAATACATGCATCTATTTTTAGCTAAAAGGCTTATAACAAAATGTAGCCATCTTGTCTCAATTTATGAAAAATCTATTTTTAAAAATCTTCCATTTAATCACCAAATGACTTTTGAATTTGTTGGGAGATACTCATAAGTTGACATACTTACTTTCCAGCTCCCATTGTGCTGTATAAGAAATTCCAACAAGAAATTAATGAGGAGATACCACAAGAAGTCTTATATTGAGGTCGGCTTATGCAGTACCTGAGGAAACAAAAGACTGTTTTCTTCACTTGAAAGGATACAGAATATGCATAACAGAAACCTAATACTCATGGCAACTAGAATTGTTATACAATGAAAATGTGACTATTTAAACCAATGTAAAATCTTTATTCACTTTAAATATTTTATATTTATTAAATAGATCATAGTGCATAACAATAATACATCATCCAATTTAATAAAGGCGACTAATTATAAAGAGTGCATTATCCAAATCATTGGAAACAACGAATAATATGTAAATTTAGATAACTACTGCTATTTTGACGTAAACTCCTAGTTGAGCTGCCTGCATGTGATGTCTAACTTCAATTACATCTGTTCCTTTTATATTCTGGATATTAACCCCTTATCAGATACATGATCTGTAAACATTCTTTCACCTCATAGGTTACCTTTTCACTTTAGTGATTGCTTCTTCTTGAGGCACACAGAAGTTTGTTTGCTTTTTGAAGATTTATTTATTTATTTATACAAGTACTGGGTACAGTCAGAAGCATGGGAGGGTGAGAGAATTCACCAGAGCCAGAGTGGGGAGCAGAACAGGCAGACTGACGAAGTACACTGCTGAGGGGAGCAGCGGGTGGCAGGAGAGGTCTGTCGCGCCATGTGGGACCCTCACTGGCAGCCAGTGATGGAACAGGCGCTGCAGAGGCTGCGGGCAGCTTCACAGCCCAGCGCTCAACCGCTGCGCCACCAGGGGAAGCCCCGAGGCACACAGAAGTTTTAAGTTTGATAATACCACTTGCCTGTCTTTGCTTTTGTTACCTGTGGTTTTGGTGTCAATAATATCTCAAAAATTATCAGAAGTTCAATATCATGAACCTTTTCCCTGTGCTTTTTTTCTCTATGAGTTCTATGTCTTTAATCCATTTTGAGTTCATTTTTGTGCATAATGGGAATGAACAGTCCAAAGTCAATCCTTTTCCTGTGAATAACCTCTTTTCCCAGCACCTGAAGAGACCCTCCTTACTCCATTCTGAGGTCTTGGCACCACTGTCAAAGAGGCCTTGACCATTTATAGGAGGGTTTGCTTCTGAGTTCTCTATTCTGTTCCATTGATTCCTATGTCTGTCTTTATCCCAGTGCCACTCTGTTTTGACTATTGCAGTTTTATAATGTGATTGAATTAGTAAGTGTTCAACCTGCATGCCACTCTTCAATCACCACCTTCCATGCAATTCACTAGAATCAATGCCGCCACTATACTTTAGGAGGTAAGATAATGGAAGAGGTGAAAGGCACAATGTCTGCTTCTCTGCCCCCTCCCCGTGGTACAGCTGGAGCTCCACCAAGAACTCTGATACTTCCCCAGTGATGCAACCACTCACGCAGCTAGATCTAACCAAAGGGTCCTGAACTGGTTTCATGACCATCACCTGAACTTGAAGGAAACCTGCAGACCCCTGGCAGTCTGTGTCATGCTCAGGGACTTCCTTCTGCGGGTGCAGAATGCACAGGATTTGATAGTTATGAATCAGAACCTAAAGTCTAGGGATGTTGCTTTTCCTAGTCTCAGGGAAGTTGGAGGGTTTCCCTTTTTTCATCTTGTTGATGTCACTGTTTTCATGGATTTGAGGTGGGGAGGGGGGCGGAGTAAAAGGCATTCTGTCTTATTTAATTCTCCCCTTTCCATCCTAACACTTCTTCACAAATCCTTGGAATCAACCCTAGTAATTTTGAGAGATTTTTTACTCTTCTTCATCAAGCTTGTTTACTGAGGTTGTTCACAGCAGACTGAAAGCTTTTACAGACATTCTGCCACCTTCTGTGAGTCTTTCCACTCTGTCCTTATCTTGTAATATTCTCAGTGGAGAATAAGTCTGTTTTCCTGGTTATTTTTCCCCTTGGTTTATTTCTCTCATCAATCTCCTATTGCCCAAGCCTTTATGGGCAGCTCTGTAATCTCAATACACAGTAAAGTATCTGATATTTATTCAATAAGGGATAAAAATCTAATATTTCTAAAACCTCATAGAAAAGTACTTTTAAAACCTTAAATCAGAGCCTAGGAATATTTATTCAGTTCCTAGTAGGGCCTCTAAAAAATATAAATAGAAGCTATGATGAATTTAGATAGAAACTGTGTTTTTCAAGGAGCCAAATAGCCCTAGTGGATAAGTAAAAATTCTTACTAGAACAATGCCACCTAACAAAGGGAGAAGAAATGATAGAATTTTGCAATATCACTATTTCATCACAAGGATTCAGGTAAAAATTGTCAATGGGTTGGGCTAAAACCACCAAGTGACAAGCTGACAGGAACCTGGGTATTACTAGCCTAATGTCACTGTCACCCCACTGATTATAGATGGTGAGAGAGGGAAAAATGTAAACTGACAATGTAGGGTAAGGCTGTCCCCACCTTAACCAGCAAGCCTTCTAGAATATCTGGTATTGGAAGACCAGACACAAGGTGGCACAGTATAAAGGACACAGGGTCACTTAGGCAACATCACTTCCTGCCAACAGTGTTCAACCTGCACCTAATCAAGTCTTTATCTTTAACTCCTAGTTTGCAGGAACTTCTAAGGTTTTATGAATAATGGAGACAACTACCAGTAAAAAAACTCAGATGCTTCCAGAAATAGCTGGGAGGTCATCCTACAAGACACCTGGCCTCATCTCTTCAACAAGTTAATCTACTAGACTTTTACGAGGAGACTTTTACATGGAGACAGTTTTTGGTTAGAGACACACATGGGCCAGAAGAACCCAACACAGGTGTGTTCACAGCCTGGTTCCACTCTGAACAACCAGGTGTGAAGATGTTTTCAGAACAATCAGATAAATCTGACTTTAGTCTATGAATGAGATGCTAAGAAAATACTGTTAACTTCATGAGGTATGACAATGGCAGCTTATGATGGTGAAAGGCAAACATGTCCTTTCTAGAGATTACCAGCGTCGAAGGTCTAATACTTTTCGCTGCTTGATGTCATCGGCTGGAGAGCACTGTGCCCAGTCCCTTTGATGTCTTCCTTTTTTATCTGAAGTTTTTTTCTTAGAAGTTTGTTTCTTCACATTGCCTAGAATCCAAGGACATAAAATAAGCAAAATGCTTCAGATGAAGTAAACTTCCATGACAGTACAATTCATTCTGTAAATTAAAATTTAACTGCCACCAGTTCTAAAAATATTTGCCAACATGTTAAAGTACTTATATTCTCAAGAACATCCCCCTACCTTAAAGACAGAACAGAAAGCACATTAAACAATCATAAAGGTTATTTCCTATCAGATTTTTATATTTCAATTCCTGAGCTAGTCACTTAGCTAGGAAAAGAATCCATCACAAAATGCTGAGCGAACATCTAGAAAATCAAATTACCCAGGGTGAAATATTTAACTAGGCCACTTTCCAGAAAATGAATCCTTTCCATAAGACAATAAAACCACATTAACATAACTCTTTTAAGAAAGTAAAAGCTCTATGCGCTAGATCCAATAATGCGATGATGTGATGTCTAAAAATATCTCCAGGCCTACGGAGACCACAAAATGGATTAAGAATGAGGCAACCATGTGCATTATTAAAATGAGACTTTAGCACCAGGAACTACAATGGAAACCAAAGTCTCCTTTCTGTGTGCATCTGTGTCTGTATGTACACACACCAGCACACACACATATACACGCACACACAACACACACTCCCTAAAAGCCACATAAGCTAAATAACATTGGCTATCTATGGATGAGGTGGAACTAGGAACCAGACAAAGAGAGACATAAGTGAATTATACTTTACACTGTTTCATTTTTATACTTTTTTGTTTCTGACCCATACTAAGAGTTTCCCCAGGCCAAACTTAAATAAATTAAAATATTAACTACTAAAATATTAACAAATAATACCCAAGTCTTGTTTCAACTAACATTCCAAATAGCTGTGCTCTTTAAACATTTAAAAATCTTTTAAACATATTTTGACTGAAATAAATCTAATATAAAAATTAAGTTAAAGCTAGTATTGTATTGTATTGTATTTGTATGAGTTATTTGTAATTTTGAATTATGATATATACTAAGAAAGGAAACACAAATTTCCCCTAAAACTTACAACCAGCTGGAGCTCAGAAACGATTGTTATATAGGGAATGTCTCCAATTTTGTAAAAACATCATAAACACAATAAAATAAAGAAATAAGGTTTTTTTCCCCTTCCCTCTAGTAATTCTTTGTAGGTCTTCACAGAAAACACATTTCTCAGAGTTGAGTAACCATTGGCAAACACGAGCAAAAATCACATTCCAACAAATTTCTTTTGCTAATAAAATAAATTCTATCGAGAAGACCGAAATGCTACACCATTTCTTGAGCTGTTTCACTGCCCAACAATGACTTAATTCCCTAAGTAGTTTTCCTGGCCACTCAAAGTGTGGGAATCTATGACTGCACACCCACAGGGAGGCCCACATGGCACCACCTCTAAGCCTTGCAGGGGCCTGCTCTCCCTTCCCATTGTGCTAACCCTCAAGAGTTCTGGGAAAAATACATCTTTATGTCCAGATGAGCTTCCTTCATGAAATCCCCACACAGCCACACAGAGAGCTGATCTCATGGGCAATAAAAATCATAAATGTGTGGGCACCGAATCTCAGCGCTTCACATCACGTGAAAACAAAAATCAACAGAATTGAATGGAGAAAAGATAATTCCATCAGAGCTGGCTGTTTTTATCACCCCATTTTCAGCCATTCAGAGAAAATTTTTTCAGTTGATAAAAAATTAAGTATAGACATAACTGTGAACAACATCTGAAATTTTGATCTAATAAATATTTATAGAACAATATAACCAACATCCACAGAAGGCACCATCTTTGCAAGTGCACACAGTACATTCCCCAACATAACCACATGTTGGGTCATAAAACAAGTCTCAGAAAAGGACTCAGATCTTTGTCCTCTGTCCACAATAGAATTAGATTAGAAATTGATATTTGGGGGGGGGAAATCTGGAAATTGCATAGTAATTTCTAAATAATGCATTTATCAAAGGAGAAATTACAAAACACTTCAAACTGAATGAACTGTATCAAAACAAAAATAAAGTGTGGCAAAACCAGCAAACTGTAGCTAAAACAATACTTCCAGAGCAATTCTGAGCATTGAATGCTTCAAGTCTTGAATCAATGATCAAAGCTTCCATCCTCAGAAATTAAAAAATGGGAACAAAATAAACACAAGGCAGAGGGAAGGAAATAATAAAGAACAGAAATCAATGGAATGGAAAATAAACAATTGAGAATAAAACAAAATTAAAAGCTGGTGATTTGGGGGCCTCCCTGGTGGCGCAACAGGTTGAGCGCAGCGCTGTGAAGCTGTCCGCAGCCTCTGCAGTGCCGGTTCGATTCCCGGCTGGCCAGGGAGCAGCCCACATCCCGCGGCAGACCTCTCCTGTCTCGCCTGCTGCTCCCCTCAGCAGTGTACTTCAGTCAGTCTGCCTGTTCTGTTCCCCGCTCTGTCTCTGGTGAATCCTCTCACCCTCCCGTGCATCTGGCCTGTACCCCGGTTCTTGTATGCATAAATAAATAAATCTTTAAAAAAAAAAAGCTGGTGACTTGAGAAGATAAAACAAAATTAATAAACCCCTAGTGAGACAGATCAAAGGGAGAAGAGGATGTAAATGACCAGCATCAGGAACAGAAGAGGAGCTAGCACTAGAGACCCGCAGACATCAGGGTGAAGAGGGACTATCACAAACAACTCCACATCACAAACTTGACTCAGATGAAATGCACAAACCAATATTTGACAGAATGGAATTAAAACAACTCCATAATCACAGACATTTTACAACTCCTTTTAAAATAACCACCTGAAAAAACAGGAGGAGAGACATTTTGCAACTTACCTTAGGAGACCTGTGTAGCCCTAATTCTAAAAACTGAAAAACACACAACATATGTATATCTATACACCAACTGCCCATAAGTACAGACATGAAAGGAAATACCCTTGGCATCCCTGAGAATCACAAATGTAATAGCATTCTATGAAACTAGATGAGTTTGCAAATGAATGAGTAGACATAGGGAGGTTTGCTATACTGATCAGAAATTCCTAAAAGCAAAACCTTAGTTCCACTTCTTACTAGCTGTGCAAATATGCACAAGCAATGCATCCTCTTGAAGCCTCAATTCCTTCATATATAAAATGGGGCTAACGGTACCCAACCCAAAAAATTTCCTTATTACTTTGAAACCAAATGAAGAAGTGGATGTGGTAACATATATCTGAAAAGGGGTGATCCCAAACCTCTGAATCATGGACAGTGTTGAAAAGCAATACTACTTCAGTTTTTAACAGTTTAAAATTTTCATTAATTTTCTTAAAAAAGAACAAATGGAAATCACTAGCAGAAACTGTAGGACCACCCAGTGCCATCAGGAAAATTGTGCATCCTCTTAAATTGTGCAGTGCACAACCCACTCAGTGGCACCTGGAAAACTCACTGGGTGCTCAAAAATTAACCATCATCCAAAATGCCACAATGTTATGTAATAGAAAAGTAGATGTTTAATTGGGAACTACAGATTCATGAAACAGTGGTATGTTATTCTAGCCACCTCATTAACCATTTCTAAGTCCACATGGACATATCTGTAACACCTGTATTTTGCAGAATTCATTCTTAGATTTTTCAACACCCTCAAAATGCAACGTTATATTTGAGGTTCCCAATGGCAACACTTTAAGAAATGAAGTATCTTCCGCCCATTTTTTTCTCAACTATTGTGTCAGATAAGACAGCAAATGGATTAAAAAAGAAAATATGTTTAATAAAAAGTTTAAACAAGATTGATTATTTTTCTCATGATTTGCACCCGCGAGTTTCATGGATCCTTCGTTACCTGATTTGTGTTTCAAATTTGTGGACACGCCATCAAATTCAGATTTATCAATTTCCCATGCAAGAGGTAGCTTGCCCAGGCTATTGGATAAGTTTTCCAGGCTATTTTCTTCATTGTAGATGATCTCCGATGTACTGGTTGGGATGCCAATGTACCTTGATGAATTATTTCCAGCAGATAAAGAGGTACTATCAGGCAGGCAGGAAGAGTGGGTGGAATTTGGAGTTTTGTAGATTGAGGTGGCCTGGTTGAGGAAGGCATAGTCCGAGCAGATGGCGTAAATCTTCTCCCGAGTGTGGGTCACTGGGCAGCTCCATGGATAGTGGCTGTCTCCTTTGGGGCCCAAGGGTGTTCCTGAGGCTCGAGAGCAGAAAGATGGTAGAGCACCGGGTAGATTCTCCTCAGGGGACTTGCTCTCGGATCTGTGCTCACCATTTCCAGAATCACTTGCCCTTCCTGCTTCTGCAACGTTAGGCATTGAATGCACTTAGAAAGTTCTCTTACAAGGAGAAGTTGCAACTCTTTCTATGACTTGAAAAACTGTGACAACTGTTTGTCGTTTTCTACAAACACTTGAGAGCTGCAAGAGGGGTCCTAAGAAAATAGGCAGGAGAAAGAAAGACCAACAACACATCAGACACTACAAATAGCCCTAAAATCACATTGTGTTTCCTATGCCTTCTTTCAATAAAGGTGCCTTTTATATCTCTTAGATGCCGACTGCATGATTGCTGACCACCTGTCTTATCAAAACCTTGTCTTGGGCCTCCCTGGTGGCGCAAGGGGTTAAGCACCACACTATGAAGCAATCCGCAGCCTCTGCAGCAATGAGTTCCATTCCCGGCTGGCCAGGGAGCAACCTACATGGTGCAGCAGACCTCTCCTGTCTCTCCCGCTGCTCCCCTCAGCAGTGTACTTTGGTCAATCTGCCTGTTTTGTTCCTCACTCTGTTTCTGGTGAATCCTCTCACCCCCAACATCTCTGGCCTGTACCCCAGCTCTTGTATGCATAAATAAATAAATCTTTAAAAAAAAAAGTCTTAAGATCACGCATACAAATAACAAGAAAGACAAATAATCCATTTAAAAATTGGGCAAAATAACCACATAGTCACTTCTTCAAAGGGGATCTGTATCACTATTTCTAAAATGGCCAATAAGTACATAGAAAGATGCTCCATGCCATCAGTATCAGAGAGACGGATCGCAACAAGTTTGTGGAAGATGTGGAGAAATCCCTCGGACACTGCTGGTGGAAATGTCAAATGGCCCAGTTAGGTTGGGAAGAGTTCCTCAAACATTTAAATATAGAATTACCCTGTGATCCAGCAATTTCCATCCTTGGCAAATACCCAAGAGAAATGCAGACATATGTTCACACAAATGTTCTTAGCAGCACCATGCATAACAGTCAGAAAGTGGAAATAATCCAAGTGCCCATCAATGGATGAATGGATAAGATGATAAGATGAGGTGCAGCCACACAAGGGAATATTACTGGGCAATAAAAATAAATGAAGAACTGACCCAAGTATGGCACGGATAAACCTTGAAAACATTTTGCTAAGTGAAACAAGCCAGACACAAAGGACTGGCAGGTATATAGTTCTGTTCATATGAAATGGCCAGAAAAGGGAAATCCACGAGACAGAGAGTAAAGGTTACCTAGGGCTTGGGAGTCAGAAGAGGGTGGGAGTGGAATTTCTCTTTTGGAGTAATGAAAACAGTCTATAATTGAAGGTGGTGATGAATGACAACTTTGAGAATAGACTTAAGGCCGCAGAATTATACACTTTAAATGGGTAAATCACACAATGTGTGAATGACATCTCCATACTATCATCTTAAACAAATAATCCAGTAGCAAGATTATTTAAAAAACATGAAGGGATAAAGGATGTATGATGGATAATGGTCACAGATTTAAATCAACAAAAAATACAGAATTTATTTTTTTTAAACTTCCATCAATTGACAAAAAACTCCTGCCATCCAGGCAGTCACTGACCTCTGATCAACCTGAGGAAAACCTGAATTTCAAGTCTAAACTGATTCCCTTGGGGAAGAAAACAGAAAAAAAATATGTCAATAGGGGGCATTTGAGGAAGACAAAGATGTACACAAAAGGAAGACTTGATAAAGGTAACCAGTATGGGTGGGTGGGAGGTCACCCAGCCAGGAGGCCAGGCTGGTGAGACCCCCTGGGTGAACCCTTCCACTTTGACCTGTTAACAGCTCTGCCCACTCACTTGAAAAATTAGAAATGGCAATATAACTTTTACGGTTTACAGGGAAATGATTATATAAAATCCATCATGCAAATACCCATCTATGATAAAGGCGACAGGAAATAAGATGATTCCAGAAAAATCCGGGCTAGCTGGCCTGTGAGGAGAAGCTACAGGGAATGCAAGTCCTGTGGGGAATTAGGGGGCGGCTCTATACAAGGACAAGAAAAGACCCCACTGTCTTTATTTTTAAGATCTTTTCTAAGCAGAAGTAAAGCATAAAGAATATATTTCAGGGCTTCCCCTGGTGGCGCAGCGGTTGAGCGCTGGGCTGCAAAGCTGCCCATAGCCTCTGCAGCAGTGGTTCAATCCCCGGCCGCTGGTGAGGGTCCCACATGGTATGCAGACCTCTCCTGCCACCCGCTGCTCCCCTTAGCAGTGTTTTTCATCAGTCTGCCTGTTCTATTCCCCGCTCTGGCTCTGGTGAAAAAAAAAAAAATGGCATCCTGCTATTCAAACCTAGTGATCTTTCATCATTGGAGCAGAGTTTGTGGTTATTTGCAGGTGGGTGGGGTTGGGTAAGAGCTTCCCACCAAAAATAGACCCTCCAGTGGTTCTACTCTGGAGACTTTTCTTTTTGGCCAAGAAATGACTCAGGAGTAGGAACCTTTTGTGCTTTCTCCTTCTTCTTCATCTGCTGGTGTCATGGTGGTGGCAGAGCTGGGGGAGGGGCAGTGAGTCAAGCTCTGGAATTAGCCTAATGGGGGGGACAGAAATGTCCCCACTGCTGCCCTTGTCAATCACACTGAGCTTTCACTCTGCCACAGTTTCCTTCACAAACTGAGTGAGATTTTGCCCGTGGGGATGTTATGAAGGATGTTTATAGGACTATACAGAGAACACCCTATCAAAACACAGGCAAAGGGGAATGGCTGTGTTTGAACACAAAAGTCAGGGCTGAGTTCCCTAGAAGTTAATGCCAAGGAAGAACATAGAACTTGATTTATAAAAAGTATAACAGTCTGGCTTTGTATGTTTGTTTAGTAACTAGTTTAAATCATCACTAAACAAGAACGATCTCTTTGGTTGCCATTTTACCAAAAACAAAAGCAAAGGTTATCACTCTAAGGGCCTATGGCCTACTCTTCACAACCAAGTCAAGGATAAACACATAAGGGTATGAAAACATTCTCATTTGAACCACTGTTTATGAAAATTCTCTTTGAAAAATTGTGTGATAGTCATAGATTTTATTATATAAATAAACAAATTGCAAGGGATGGGGGAAACAGTGAAAAATGGCAAAAGTTATTGCACAGAGAATGGATAAATCCTATCACCCAAACACGGCTAGTGTTAATTTCCTTTCCTATGACCTGTCTGACTCTGTCTATTCTTAAGAGCTGAGTGAGGTCAAGGGTGCTGGTGCCATTTTGTCCTCAGCCTTGCTGAAAAGTGAATCAAGCACAAGTTATTAATGATAACATCGTCACTATAGTCATTGCTTACGGCATAGGCTGTAAGTTAGCCCCAGGGACTTGGGGTGCAGAGCTGGTCTGTCCCTCCTCTAAGCACCTGCAGCTCTCACCATCTTGTCACATCTTTGTCACTATTTTGTAAACCACTGCCAGTCCCATCACTACCCCGAGCCCTGCCCCTCAACCAAACTGCCCAGGCACTGGCACGCATCTGACCTATGGGAAGGAAGAGAAAATAAGGTGGGGTCTGATCATGGAACTCCCCTGTCTCAGCCCCGCAGCTCTTAGAACTCAAGCCCCTACTCTCCTATCCCACCAAGGCTCTCTTTAGCTCCCCCTCTTCTGCTAGGCCTCCCAGCTCCTCATGCTCCCTCCCTGACCCTTACTCTGATAGGCCTCTTCTCCCACTAACTCTCCTTGAGCCACTTAATCCCATTTAGCCTTCAGATAGCGGCACAAATATCGTGTGCTCCTCAGACCAGGCCAGATCACTCGCTCATTCTCGGGTACCTTTCACACCAGGATGTGCTGCGCATTTGTCTTTAGGTGCTGTCTGCCTCCTGCGGTCTGGTTTGTCTGAATCCTGCATCCCTAGCTGCCAGCATCTGCAGCAGTCCCCTCCGCAAATACCCCTTTTGGAGGCATCACTCCAAGTCCCAGGAATTGGTTCCAGGAGAGTGTCCCAGGGGTCTCCTGGGATCACCAGCTCGAGGTTTAGCCAAGGCACCCCCTCCATCCTCGCTCATTCCCAGCTGTGAGAACTGCGGCTCCCTAATCCAGATAAACCAGGTAGCGATGCAGTATTAAGACTTACCAGTGGGAACAATGGCGAGACCTAAGGCCCCACTGCAGGATTTATTCGTAAAACCCTATCACATTTAATGGAGGCATCAACTGTGTGCCATCAACATTTTATGCAACGGTGAGCCGGCCCCATGGCACTACAGCACCCATTTCTGAGACTTCGGTTCAGTAAAATAAACTGCCCGTGTGTGAGGACAAGAGCCATCGTCTAGGTCACATTCTTTTGGGGTTATATTTAAAATTCGTCTAATTAGCAAGTTCGCTTAGAGAACTAAACAGCTTTAAAATCCCTCCAGCGCAGCCTTCTGCCTGAGAGAACGACGTGCTCTACATTCCACACTTCCAGAAGGTCCCTGGGGCGCAGGGCAGGTGGGTGACTGCCTGAGGGTGGAGTAAGAGCCCGGGACCAGACTTGAGGTGCCAGGTCCCAGAACCCAGGTCTTAGCCCGCCTGCCCCCGGGACCTCTCCAGGCGCTCCAGGCCCCTTCCTCCACCAGACCTGAGCTCTTCTGGGGCTGGGGCCGCCGGCCCGCGAGGGACTGGGGTGCCTGCGTCCAGCTCGGGCTCCGGGGCGGTAGGCGCAGCCCCCCCAACCCTCTCCTCTGCCAAGCAGCGGCTCCGCGGGGCTCGGAGGCCGCTGGAATCCAGGCGCCCGACGCACAGGCGGTCCCCGCCGCGCCGAGCCGGGTGAGGCCCAGCGTGGGCCGCGAGGAAGGGGGTGGCTGCGCCCCCAGCCCGCGCCCCTCCGCCGCCAGCCCGGCCGCGCGCCCTGGGGGGGGGGGCTGGACGTCCCCTCCCGCCGCGCCGCGAAGCCCCCCGCGCTCCTGCACCCCCTAACTGCGCCCGTGGCCGGAAACCCGAGCTCGCCGCGCTGGGGAGCGAGCGAAGCCCTCGGGGTGCCCGCCCCCTAACCCGGGTGGACCCCGGAGCTCCGGCGCTCCGCCAGCCAGGGTGGCTGCTCCCAGGCGGAGAGGGCGTCCCCCAAAGGGGCTTGGGAGCGCGCGAGCGGGTGCCATGAATAAGGACAACTGCAAAAGCGAAAAACCCCGCCTCGGCCAGGACCAGGCCCACTTTGGTTTGGGGGAGCCACCCACCCGGGGGCCCGAGTTTGGGGGCAGCAGGCAAGGTGGAGCAAAGGAGGAAGGGATGGGGGAGAGAAAGGAGCTCTGGGTTCGACTCTGGGGCTGACCATGACCCGTCTCGGAGACCGCCCGGCCCGAGCTGGTGGTGCTGGGGCCGAGGGGGGGGGCCGTCACCGCTGGGGGGGCGTTGGGGGTCGGGGTCCTGCCAGCCGATGCAGGCGTGGAGAGGAGAGCCCGGATCCCCGCGGGCACCGCCAAAGGCAGCTTTCTTCTCAGAAGGACACGTCCCTTTGCTCCCCAGAGCTGCTCTCCGCCCTGCGCCCCAGCTCTTCACCCCACTTCTGCCCGGGATGATGGGCCCCGGTGCAGGGGCCTCCACCGTGCAGCCGCGCGCCTCGGGGAGGCCTGGCCCCGGCGGCCGCGCGGGGTTGGCCGCTTCTGCAGCAGGCCCGGCCGGGCGCGGGGGGCGGGCGCAGGTCCAGGGCGCAGCGGGCACAGCCGCGGGCCGCCACCCCGGCGCCCCCCCCCTCCCGGGGTACCTCGGGCGGCCGGTCCCGCGGGGTCTGGTCGCTGCGGCCGCGGCGGGGCCGGCTCGGGATCCGATCGCAGCTGGCGGCGGGGGGCCCGGGGCTGGCGGCTCTCATCCCATCGGGGCGCGCGGGGACAGCGCCCGCCTTCACCGGCCGCGCCTTCCCTTCATCGCGCGCTGCCGGGGCCCCCTGCTCGCGCGCGGGCCGCGGCCAGCATTGGTTTTTATTCTCCCGAGCGGTGCCGCCGGCTCCGCGCGCCCCTGGGCCGGGTGCCCGCGGTGGGTGTCTCAGCGGCGAGCGCCCGGCGCACGGACGAGGGGGAGCCGCGGGCGCCCGGCAGGATTTCCGCCGCTCCCGGGGCGAACTACACGTCCCAGGAATCCGCGGAGCCCGGACGCGTGTGCGCCCCGCCGGCCACTTGGAGACGGTCTTACTCAGCCCGGCCCGGCGCGCCCGCCAATCCGCGCGCCCCCACCTTGGGCTGGACCCTGAGACGGGCTCGCCCCCAGGGATGCTCCGGGCGCAGGAGCAGCCTAAGTTCATCTTTGTCCCGAGGAAGGGGAGCGGCGTCTTCCTCGCCTGTTGCAGCCAGGCCCCTGCTGATTTCCCGGGGGAAAGTGGGGTCCCGCGCGCCCGCGCAGCACAGCCAGCGACCCCTTGGGGGGCCCCTTTGCCGCGGCGATCGGTCCGCGCGCCCCCGCCCGAGCCGCGCCTGGCCCGGTCCTCGCCGACGCTTGGTTGACCCGAGGATCGTCTCGAGCGTCCGTCTTGTAAATGTTCAGCATTTTGCTGCTTTGCTGCTTCTCTCTGGGGACGGGTCCAGCGCTGACCGAGACCGGCGGACAGAGGCGGCTGAGCCCCGAGAAGAGCGAAGTATGGGGGCCGGGGCTGAGGGCGGCCGTGGTCCTGCCCGCGCGCTATTTCTTCATTCAGGCGGTGGATGCCTCGGGCCAGAAGTAAGTGCAGAAGCGGCCCCTGGCTCTTTGGGAAGCTGCCAGAAGCCACGGTTTCCCCCTGCCAAGTGTTGCTCCCCCATTTCCAGGATACTGGGGGGCTGGCCACGTCTGGTTCCCGACGGGGTTTCCCATCCTGATCACTTTTCTCTGCAGCTTTAGAAATAATTCCGAATTGACTGTCTCCAGCAGTTTTCACAGCGATTCCAGCATCGCTGCGGACACAAACCTGTCCATCCTGCTAGAAGTACGATTTCTCACTACTTTTGCATAAGTTAAACTTGGCTGGTTTCATTTTTCTGGTATTTTGTTTTAATATTTATTTATGCAGACAAGAGCTGGGGTGCAGGCCAGAGGTGTGGGGGGTGAGAGGATTCACCAGAGACGAGTGGGGAACAGAACAGGCAGCCTGATGAAATCCACTGCTGAGGGGAGCAGCGGGCGAGTCAGGAGAGGTCTGCCGCGCCATGTGGGTAGCTCCCTGGCCGGGGATCGAACTCGTGCTGCAGAGGCAGCGGAAGCTTCATAGGTTGTGTCTTAACCCCTTGCGCCACCAGGGAGGCCCGGGTTCTGTATGTTTTTGTGTGTTTGCTTCATTTTATTGCATTCAACTCTTAAAACATCCAAAATGTGTTTTTATGATTTACGTATTTCTGATGTGATTGTCTTTTTCATTGGTGTATAGCAACTGTATAATATTTAGGGCAAAAAAATCTAGTCTTGGCAATAAGTTTCAAAGGAAATTTATCAATTTTGTCGCTTGGCTTTAAATAGTACCACTGGGAAAACTAAACTTCATCTTAATTGTAACCACAAGAGCACCCAGCAAACAGTTTTATGGACTGTCACTTAAATAACACACTACCTGCTGGCTTTGGCACACGGCTGGGAATGATTTATAATGCTGACATTTTTAAAAGAATCATTGAGGAAGATTTTGCAAAAAAATCATTGTCTGTAGAAGCACCATTTGATCACAAAGTTCCATTTGCAATGAGCACGAAAGTTACTGTAGATTGATAAAAATAGCTCATACGTGGATGGCACAAGTATGTCCTGTGTTTATGTAGATGAATACTCTTAACATAATCCCTTGCAGTTTTCTAGTGAAACCTGGCCGCGGTCATACTGTCCCTTTGTTCAATTTCTGGTTCTCCCGTTCATTCTGTAACTAAGACAATAAAGACCAGAAGCAAGCACATGTTAAAGGGAGAAAGTGGAGCGGAATAGTAAGGTTCAAAGACTGGACAGCACAATCTTTGCATGTTTGTTTGTTCCTTAATCTTTATGTCTCCCTGCTCTTCCCATCACAGATTTACATCATCTCCTGGTGAAAAGGTTTTCCAGGTTAAAATCTCCGCCCCAGATGAGCAATTCACTAGAGTCGGTGTCCAGGTTTTAGACAGAAAAGATGGGTCCTTCATCGTTAGATATAGAATGTATGCAAGCTACAAAAGTCTGAAGGTAGAAGTTAAATTCCAAGATCAACATGTGGCCAAATCTCCATATATTTTACAAGGTAATTTGAAACATGTTTTTGGAACAGTATTTGAATAAAATATTCCATGCTCTGCTGTCAATAAAAACCAATTAGCATGATTTTTTTTTTCACTGAAAAAAAAAAAAAAAAAACAGACATTTCCTACTTGAAATCCAAGGTGAGCTTCCTGGCAAAAGAGAGAAATGCAAAGTTTGAATGGAAATTATAATTTGATAATAAAGAAAGAACATATTAATAGAGAATGTGCTCCCTAAGGAGACAGGAGCAAGAAAATTAAGCCATGAATGTGGTCATAAGTGACACTTTTTTATATGCATTTTTTAATTGAGGCGATACTGGTTTACATCATTATATATGATGCAAGGGGTTAGGTTCACACCTCCCAGCTGCATGTGACTGTTCCACACCCACCACCAAGGACCCCACAGCCCTTCACCAAAAATCATTGGGCCGCTCCCCTAGTCATATTTCAAGGGTTTGTTTTGGTTTAGTTTTGTCTGTTCCTCTGTTTTGTGTCTCTGTATCCCACATGGGAATCATCTGGTATTTGTCTTTCTCCTCCTGACTTACTTCTTTTACCATCATCCCCTCCAATTCCATCCACACTGTCGCAAATGGCAGGAGCTCATCTTAAGGGACGCTTTCTTCATTGGAGATATTTAACTTAAGTGACTGATAAATGCGATTGATCCCAGAAGGGAGAAGGCTTGGTGTAGAGGGGCCAGCTGACTTGTTCTTCATATACAATAAGGGTACAGTTTTGCTGCCCAGAGCTGTAGCTTTCCCTCTCGGGGGAGACAGTGCCCTAAGACGGTGGGGGAGCTGTGTGATACAGAGACACATCTTCCTTTGCCTCCCTTCCAAGAAAAGCAAACGTTTGTAAAAAGTGTCTAAGTTCCTTTCCCACATTCCCTGCAGGACCTCATGATATGATAAAACCTGCTAGACCTTAAAAGCATAGTCACCCTGACAATGGCCTGGATCGAGACAGTCAGAATTAGGAAAAGAAATGGTAGAAACATCGCCACTCTGTTGGCATTATATCTATAAACATGTACTAATTCATTACACTATTAATAAAGCAGACCATTTTGAGGATTCCCTGTTTCTTTAGAATTCTGTTTTTAAAAGCAGAGCTCAAACAGAGCAAGTTTCTTTATTTTTTTTTTTAAAGATTTATTTATTTATTTATTTATATAAGCGCTGGGTATAGTCAGAAGCGTGGGAGGGTGAGAGAATCCACCAGAGCCTGAGCGGGGAACAGGACAGGTAGACCTATGAAATACACTGCTGAGGGGAGCAGCGGGCGGCAGGAGAGGTCTGCCACTGCCACGCCATGTGGGACCCTCGCCAGTGGCCGGGGATCGAACTGGCGCTACATAGGCTGTGGGCAGCTTCACAGCCCAGCGCTCAACCGCTGCGTCACCAGGGAAGGCCCAGGTTCTTTATTGGCTTGAGTTGGTATGATGATGATATATTTACCCATGGAGAAAAGCACCTTAGACATTGTAAGAACCTGCCTGTATAGTAGACCATTGAAAAATTAATTGCATATCACTTTTCTCTTTCATTAAGACAGGTGTGCTCCTCTAATAGTGTTTTACCAATGTTTGGTTGTTGTTCTGTGCACAATTCATAAAGAATAATGGACTGTAATAACCACTGTAGATAAAAAAGCAGTGCCCTTCTTTTGACCTTGTGTCTTTCTTTTGACCTTACGCCTTTCTTTTGCCCTCATGCAACGGGCATAAATGTGAGCTGTCAGAACAGAAACCTGACTTACTAGGCTTCCCCTGGTAATAATAGAATTTTTTTCCATCCAAACGCCCTTTCTGTCTAACTAGACAAAAGGTGTGAGGTCTAAGGTGGATTCTGTTCCATGTTTCAAATGCTGACCTTTGGTGCTCTGTGCGATTAGGGCCAGTTTACCACGAGAACTGTGACTGCCCTTTGGGAGACAGCGCAGCCTGGCTCCAGGAGATGAACTGCCCAGAAACCATTCCTCAGATTCAGAGAGATCTGGAACATTTCCCGACCATCGACCCGGAAGCGATCGCAGCAGAAATCCCAAAAAGATTTGGACAGAGGCAGAGCCTGTGCCATTACACCCTGAAGGATAACAAGGTGCAGTTCTCACGAGGGTTGTTTGTTTGTGGCTTTCTGACTATTGGGCCACCCCCACAGCACCCCTTTATTAGAAATCATTCTGAGGGCCTGTGGGATAGATCTTGCCTCTGGGAAGTCTCCGGACAACCTTGGGACTAATCAGTGAAACGTCTGATTCTCTTGCAGGTTTATGTCGTGACTCACGGTGAACATGTAGGTTTTCGAATTTTCATGGATGCCATTCTACTTTCTCTGACTCGAAAAGTAAGTATTTATTTTCTATTAGCTGTAACAGACTTGCTAAGCTCAGATTTTACAATATAATTTTTCAAAGTAAAAATAATAGTATCAGGAGTGTTTTGGGAGCCTGTTATGTTCCAGTGTTCTCTGCCATGTAGTTCCCTGGCACTCCCACCACAAAGGGCTAAAGTTTGGGGGGCTTAAATGACAGAAACTTAGTCTCTCTCCATCCTGGAGGCCAGTAGTCTAAAACTGAGGTGTCAGCAGGCTGTGCTGAAACGTGTAGCAGGGAACCCTCCTGGCTCTTCCTCACCTCTGAGGGGGCTGACAGTCCTCGGTGTTCTTGGCTTGTAGCCACATCACCCCAACTCTGCCTGTCTCACATGGCTAATCCCCATATCTCTGTGCCCTCACTTCTCACAGGACAGCAGTCAGGTTAGATCAAAGGCCCATCCTCCTCCAGTACACCATCCTCTTAACTCATCATGCCCCCAACAAACTGTTTCCAAATAAGGCCATTCTGAGATATTAGGGTTTATTTAGGCTCTGTGCATGATTTTTTTTGGGGGGGACACAATTCACCCCATAACAATACCTGATAGAATACCTTATAAGGAAATTATCTGGGTAAAGAATCTCCTTTGAGCAAAAAGAAGACTTGCCATGTTCTGAATCCTGGTTTTTAGTATAATAGGCTTGTTCGTAGGGTCCTGTTGGGGCACTTGGCAGTGATAGTAAAATGGCTGATAGGAAGAACCATGCCAGCATTTTGATCAATTGCTTCCAAGCCATTTATTGATTAATCTCCGTGCATATCTGTATTGAATTACTCATGGAAAATCAAAGCCCCTTTCTTAAGATTGCAAAGCAGCTACAGGAGTTCACTCTGAGTGCAGGTACCATCCAGCATCCATATCCCTCTTCCTTTAAGCTCCAGTCTCAGTGCTAGGTTCTGGCAGGTTGGTTATTCGTTTTTCACTTATCTGTGTCAGTCCATTGCAAATAAGAATGTTTGTCAGTACTCCGGTTTATCAAGATGCTTCTCAGACTGATGGCCAGTGCAGTCTAGACTAAAAAAGTAGATCTCTCTTTACCAACACTGTACACTCCCAGCAGCTAAAACAACAGTGGTGGGTCCACACAGTCACGCCCCAGATGGCCTGGCTTGCAAGTCCCTCATGCTGGCTTCGGTATCGCAGAGACATGTTGATTCTCAGGATCGACACCTGAGCCTACATAATGTTCTCATGCAATGTTACATCAATAAAAAAATGTTAAGAATAAAAAATAAAAAAGCAGGTTCGTCTAGCCTGAAATAGGAAATGCTCTGCCCTCTGGAGGTGGGAGCCCAGGGGGCATGTGACTGAATTGGGCTTTTGTCTCTAGGTCAGAAAGGATTCCACAACCAAGGGCTGGGAGTGGGGTGCTTGGGTGCCCTAGCAGGCCCAAGGATGGGGGAGGTGGCCTTCCCCCACGAACAGGTGGCTGGGGAGAAGACCCAATGCAAGGTGAGCAGCTCCTCGCTTTCCTTTTTCCAGGTGAAGATGCCAGATGTGGAGTTTTTTGTTAATCTGGGAGACTGGCCTTTGGAAAAAAAGAAATCCAGCCCCCACCTCCATCCCATCTTTTCCTGGTGCGGCTCCACAGACTCCAAGGACATCGTGATGCCGACCTACGACCTGACGGACTCCATTCTGGAAACCATGGGCCGGTGAGAGGGGGCGCTGCCAACCCAAAGCCTGGCTTCTTCCCTGCTGGTGTCCCTCCGACAGCCTCTGCTACGCGAGGGCCTGGGAGGAAGACAGGTTGCCTTTCTGTTTTCCAGAGTCAGTCTGGATATGCTGTCTGTGCAAGGGAACACGGGCCCTCCCTGGGAAAGCAAGAACTCCACGGCGGTCTGGAGAGGCCGAGACAGCTGCAAAGAGAGGCTGGAGCTGGTGAAACTCGGCCGGAAGCACCCGGATCTCATCGACGCTGCTTTCACCAACTTCTTCTTCTTTAAACATGATGAGAGCCTCTACGGGCCCATCGTGAAGCACATCTCCTTCTTTGATTTCTTCAAGGTATGACATCCTCCCTGGCGAGTCCTTTTTGGCTTTCTAAACGTCTTCATTTGGGGGAGGGCAATGGAGGCTTGAGGCCTATAAATTGAAGGAAGCCAGAGAGGAGCACCACGTTGCGTGCCTTTCCAGGCCTGGGGGCCCTGTGGGTTCAGGGTCCCCGAGGGCTGGGGGCTGGGGCTGGCAGGCAGGCCCTGATGTGAAAACAGCGTGGCTGGAGCTGCAGTGCCTCCCCAGCTGACCCTCTGGAGAAGCCTGTTGAGCTCCAAATCCCTTTTTATTAATTAAGAATGAAGTGATTCTACAAATACTTTCCCTAGAGCTATGGCATCACCACAGACTGAAGGAGATATAAACCAGCTGTCTCTTGTCAGGCCTGCTGGTGAGAAAATGTCTTGAAATCCATCCAAATGTTCTGTCTGGGAATTCTAGGGATTGGAGAGGGAGGGAGGCTTTCCTTGTCTGCGCTGTGGATGGCTCTTGTTCCAGGGAACGATTCTTTTTCTAACTCCCCTTTTCATGTGGGGTGGGGGGGACACTGCCCTAGTGTCTGAACCTCCCAGTGGTTTGGAAGCCCGAGGTGCTGGGGGAGGCGGTCGGTCATCCATCCCGCAGGAAAGCAGTTGATGAGCTTGGCCTGTAGCAGACCAGCTGTCCTCCGACCGGTTCCAGGCTAGCAGGCCCACTTCAGCAAAGCCGCGTGTTAAACTGTGGGTCTTTTCACCCAATGCTTAGCACAAAGATTTTTATTTTTTAAAGATTTATGTATTTATGCATACAAGAGCTGGGGTACAGGCCAGAAGTGTGGGGGGGTGAGAGGATTCACCAGAGACAGAGTGGGGAGCAGAACAGGCAGACGGACTGAAATACCCTGCTGAGGGGAGCAGCGGGCAAAACAGGAGAGGTCTGCTGCGCCATGTGGGTAGCTCCCTGGCTGGGGATCGAACTCTTGCTGCAGTGGCTGTGGATAGCTTCATAGGTTATGTCTTAACCCCTTGCACCACCAGGAAGGCCCCAAAGATTTTTTTTTTTTAAGTAGTAGTAAGAGCCCAGAGGGTGTTGTGACGTGCCTTGCATTATCCCTACCAGCCTGACTTTCTACAGCTGAGCATAAGGGATTGCCATAAGCTAGAACATTCTGATTCATAGATGCTCTTGCCCCCGAGCTTGTCTGTTTCCTGAGCACGTGTGCAGCCGGGGATGTTTAGGCAACACGGTGTACATGGCCCATTTGCTCACAGGATGCTCCAGTGCCATCTGTACCAGAGTGGCAGGATGACAAAGTCGTGATAAACCTGCTTTCCCGGTGGCAGCTGCAGGCACCAGTTTTATTATTTCAACAGCTGCTTCCCCATTAGTCCGGTTGCCCTTGATGACATTTGGGAGGAGTAAGATGAGCATTTAGCTCTGGGTAGCAGGTGGTAGCCTAGGTCCAGCCTGTCTGCGTCTGAGGGTGGGGGGCTTTCTGGCGGGAAGAGGAGGAGAATAGAGAGAGTGGGAGAAAGGTGAGGTAATGTGGTTCTTGCCCCACTGCTGTCGCGCAGCACAAGTATCAAATAAACGTGGATGGCACGGTGGCCGCCTACCGCCTGCCCTACCTGCTCGTGGGCGACAGCGTGGTGCTGAAGCAGGACTCCATCTACTACGAGCACTTTTACAACGAGCTGCAGCCCTGGAAACACTACATCCCCGTGAAAAGCAACCTGAGCGACCTCCTAGAAAAATTGAAATGGGCCAAAGATCACGATGAGGAGGTAAAGTCAAGTCCACCGGGAGGCTTGCTCACACGTGTCGCCCAACCTCGAAAGTCCACCTTTAATGTCTTGGGCTTGGAGAGGATGCAGGAGGCGTGGATGTGGACCCACCTCCCCAGGGGCACCCCCTCCGTTCCTCTCTGGGTGAACATGGGTGTTGAGGTTTGAATTAACTGTCCCCTGTGTACATGAAACAAAAACTGAAACTTGGCCTGCATCGGGCCCTCCGGCAGAGTCTCCCTTCTACTGGGAAGGTGATGATTAAGATGGCCAGCCTGGCAGGAGGAAAAATTAATCGTGCTATGGATTGAAATGAGGGATGACATGAAAGAAGCCTTAAACTAACGGCTGGCCAAGTTTCAGGCAGTGCATTAAGCCTCATCCTTTAAAGCAGGCTTTCCTTTCCAGGAGACACTTAATTCTATAAGGCCCTATGTGACTTCTCAAACTTTCAAGCCTTAAAAACCTCCCTTTGATGGAAGCAAACATCCTGCTAGGAAGTTCTATTTCAACCTCAGACTTCCCCCAAAGATATTTTTCTTGCTGACACCCCACTCCATGGGTACTCTGAAGATTGATTTGCATATGTCTGCATGGGGAAAAATATACATTTCATTCAAGACTATTTTTCATTGTTCCCATAGGCAAAGAAGATCGCAAAAGCAGGGCAAGAATTTGCAAGAAATAATCTCATGAGTGATGATATATTCTGTTACTATTTTAAACTTTTCCAGGCAAGTATTTGCTAAGAAAATAGACAACTTGTACCTAGATGTGTTAAGCACAGACTAGTTCACTGAACAGTTTCTAAAAGTATGTTAGAGATACATGTACACTTCTGTGGGTAAAAATCAGGGACAAATATTAAATATTAGTGAAAGAAGTAGAAAAATCAAAGATGAGCTCCTGGAGCGTGCTTTAGCACTAAGGGAAATGTATTCACGTGAAAACAACATGTGGTGTGGTTAGGAAGCTGGCCTCGGCCTCTGCAGGTTCCCCTGCGTGGTTCTCTTGGAACAGTATCGTTGCTGCCTTCCCCTTTCTTTGTCTAGACAGGGTGAGGTGTGTTTGGGCCTGTTGTACTGACCCCAGATGGAAATTGTTCCATGGACCTAAGCATTTGGGGATTTGTGACCCAGGCTTATGTGAACATTTGGAAGACTCTTTATTTAAAAGAATCAAAATGCATAATAAAAAACTTGCGAATGATGAAACTTAGATGCACATTAAGATTTTATCTCAGGTAGCAGATACCCAGCCCCATAGCTTAGGTGCTACCCTGGAACAAAGTGGGTCTGTCTCTGGTCTGCCCTGCCTCCTCTGCTTTTTAATAGTTTCTGGGATAGGGAAAGGTCAGAGAGGGTGGAGGGGGCGCTGAAGGCCTGGGGGCAGGGTGACTTAAAGGGACGTTTGTTCATCCAGCTCATGGATACTAGCACACAAGCCCCGAGCCCGGTACCTGGCACAGAACCAGCGCTCAGTAAGTGGGGGGGATGCAGCAAGCTGTGGTGGGCAGAACAGAAATTGTCCCTGTCCTCAAATTCTCAGTCTATGGAAGATTGTGGATGTGATTATTTTCTCTACAAGGCAGATGGTGCTTAAAAAATAAATAAATAAATCACACGAGTCCTATCAAGGAAAGACAGAATTAGGATGGACCCTGGGCAGCCAGGTCCAAAAGATACACCTCTTAGAAGCTCTGTTCTTGAGTGTGAAAGGGGGTACAGAGGACTATGCATATTGCAAGTTGACACAGGCAAGGTTAGCGGATCCTGTTCTAGCAAATTCCAGCATATCTGATTCTGTTAGTGACTTGTGTTATGTAAAGCATGCTATCGTATCGTTGCCTGTACAGGAATATGCCAGTTTACAAGTGAGTGAGCCCCAAATCCGAGAGGGCATGAAGAGAGTAGAACCACAAGCTGAAGATGACCTCTTTCCTTGCACGTGCCATAGAGAAAAGGTAACGGGCACTGACTTCTGTAGGAGTAAGCACCACCTGGCGCTTGGATAGATACGGGGTGGATGGTATTTTCAAGTGGAATAGCCTCATCTCCCTGGGAGAAGGTTTGACAAAGTTCATCATCCCACTTTAGAAATGAAAAAACATATAACCTTGATCAGATTAGTCATTTTCAAGCAAGCTCTGTGGATACCAGTACGTGCTGACTGCACTGATAAAAGGCAGAATTACATATGGACAGATGGGAAGGCCAAAAAGGACCTTCAAGGTCAGCCGGTCAGTAAACATCTTCATTTTCACGTTAGCAAAACCGAGTGCAAAGAAGAATTTAGCTCAGAATCATTCTGCTGTGGATATAACAAGGCAGAGACCAGAACCAATCTCTCATCATCAGATTGTGGGTAAAGACATGGGATGGCAGAGGAAGATGTCTTGATTGTACTTAGGTGTTTGAAGGAAAATAGCGGCAGATATGAGGGTACATGGGTATATTGCCTTGCTGTTATTTTACGCATCATCGTCATGTCTCTGAATGCACAAATTCAGACTTGTGGATTGTGACAAGATGAGGCAGCAGTGTGGACAATTATCTTTACCTCTGGAGGAGGGGGTCACAAGGGTTGAGGGGACCACAAGCCTCAGTGATGTGATAGAGCCGGCCTCGCAAACTCACTGATTGTTAAATATTCAGGAATGGCGCCCCCTGGTTCAATTTTTGGTAGTTTGCACTTACACCATGAGCATCAGCCCACGTGCCAAATCAGAGTTTTGGTTGGATTTTTGTTTTTGCATTTTTGAGAGTTGATTTGCCTCTCACCAGCCCTCAGAAGTGTACGTAGCATATCATCAGAGTCACCCGTCAGGGCACCAAGGCCATCTGGTCGGCTCAAGTCAAGGAGGAGAGAGGAATTTTCAGAACTGCAAGGGCTTCCCTCACCAAGTTTGTGATTTGGTATCAATGTGTGTCTGTTGGCTCCAAATGAAAGCAGACAGTTCGCTTTCTCCACTGGCCTTTTTATTTTTTCCCTTTGCCTAAGTGATTTTGAGGGGTGCTGAGTCAGTATCTCCCCCTGACAGCTAGAAACTAGGGGCTAGAACCATGGCTTTGTTTATTTATTACTAATTTTTCTACGCTCACCCTCACTGATAACTAATCCCTAGCAGGAGGTCCCTCCAGGAACAGCCTGAGATGTCCAGCCCCCATCTGGGGGGGGGGGTGGTCCAGTCTTAGTTCTAGGCATGAGAATCCACTCACAGTAAATTAGCTTTTTTCCTTCTTTCATCTTCAGGAAAAAATAAATCAGACTAGTGCAAGTCCTCTTGACTCCTGCAAGACCTCTTGATGGCGCTAAATATTTTACTTCTTTGTTGCAGGCCAAAGATGAACTCTGATATGCCAAATATCTTCCCTTTAAATAATGGTGCTCTGAAGACTTTTTTCACTGAAATAAGAATGTTTTTTAAACATTGATTCCATGGACAGAATAAAATCTCTCACATGATCATTGGATTATGAAGACGTGCTGCTTCGCCTCGTGCAGTATTGCCTTGCCTGTCCTTGGAAGCGCATTTGAAGAATTTTATAATAAAACCACTTCTATTTTAAAGGTCTGTGTTGTAGTTATTAGCTGTGTTTGGACCATGGAGCAGTAACGAGGAGGAGCCTGGGTCCTGGACTCCGCGTGGACGACACAGCAACCTCACCCCCATGCAGACTCTGGGTTGGCAGGGAAAGCAATAAACCTGTATCTTGAGCCACTCTGCTAGTCAGTCACTCACATGCAAACCAAATTCTAGTTAATGTGTCTTATCAGGCCTTTCCTACTCTCAGCTCTGCTTGTACCTTGAATTAAATCTCTCACCACCTCCTGATCCAGAGCCTCCAGCCTTGTTCTTCCCCTCCTCATACATGTGCTCCTTGTCTGCAATGCCACCATCCTCCCTGACTTAGATCACCTTCCATGCTCTTTTCTGGAAACCTACTTTATGGTCTGTCTTAGATTCTCTCATTGCACTGTCTTTTAATGTCCAAATGATTATGATTTTAACAGAGAAGGGAATACCCACTTATTCTTTCACAGCTTCTGTACATTGCTTACAAAACCCTTCTCCCAGGTGACTCACCTGTCTCTTAGGTCATCTTCTGTATGAGGATCCTAGGACTGCCAGTAAATTTCCACAAACTTGGTGTCTTCAAACCACAGAAATTTATTCTCGTGGCTCTGGGGACCACCAGTCAGAAATCAAGGCATTGGTATGGCTGACTCCTTCCGGAGGCTGTCCTCCAGGCCTCTCTGCCAGCTCCTCATTACAAAAGACATACAAGGATTTGTAGCAATAGTCGGGTAAAGAGAAACATAGGGTGGGGTCCCAAAGAAGCTTCAGTCCAGGTGGCATTTGGTGCCAGGGTCACCACACCACACAACTGACAAGGGACATTGAAGCTCTACAAAGAGCACAAACAAAGAAAACAAGTGACTGATCAAAAAAACAGGCAGAAGCGCTAAACAGGTACTTCTCCAGAGAAGACAGAGATGGCCAGCTGGTGAAGCAGAGTAAGGATTGGGGGACAGGTCACTGTGGGTTCTCACCTGTGTGCTCACAATTACAAGACACTACTCTGGCTCAGAATTTGACCACAACGGGCTTATTTAAAGGGAGATTGGTATATGGGCCTCCCTGGTGGTACAAGGGGTTAAGCACCGTACTATGAAGTGATCTGCAGCCGCTGCAGCATGAGTTTGATCCCCAGCTGGCCAGGGAGCTACCCACATGGTGCAGCAGACCTCTCCTACCTCCCCACTGCTCCCCTCAGCAGGGTATTTCAGTAGATCTGCCTGTTCTGCTCCCCACTCTGTCTCTGATGAATCCTCTCACCCTGCCCTCTGCCCCGGCACCTCTGGCCTGTACCCAGCTCTTGTATGCATAAATAAATAAATCTTTTTTTTTTTTTTAAAGGGAGATTGGAATAAAGGAAAGTGTCCCTCAGACCACAAATGGCCAGTTGTCCTACCCCAGATAGCAACGCAGTGTCCAGTCATCCAAACCAAAAGGTGCTCGTGCAAGACAGTGATGTCCCTCCGGTGAGAGCTGGGAACTGGCAGCCCCTGGTAAGGGTGGCCCAGGATCCAGGTAATCAGTGACAACTGGGGTGGCCGCAGCTGGAGCAGAATCATAGCATCTCTCCTGGAGCTGGTCTCTCTTTGAACCCTCCCCAAGCTGAATGGTGCCCTCGCTGGAGTTTCAGCTTATATCCCCCTTCAGGGTACCCGCCTTTCAAACCCGATTGGTCTATTTTCCAAACCAGCTGTTTCCAAGATTTAATTGGTGCCATTGCAAGCTTAAACCTAATTGGAGCTTGGACCAGGTCCCTTTTCAAAACCTTCTCAGGGGTTAAAACGGAAACCCTGGCAGTGTCCCCAACCTGTCCTGGCCACCTGGCACCGGGGCTGGCCAGGCAAGCGCTGCTCTGTCTGAATGGCCTGGCCAGGTGCAAACATGACCCACGTGTCCCCAAAACCGCGTGGGTTTTTTCCCTTTAAACTCAACCCCGCTGTGCCAAGCTCAGCCAGCAAATCTGGGGCCAGGGGGTAACCCGGGCTGATGCCCTGCAGCGGGGGCCAGGGGCCTTCAGAGAACCGGGGGCCACGAGAGCCTCTCACACGGGCACGTGAAAACCTGTTGAGCATCACTTATGGGGAAAGGCGTGAGAACTGCAGCTGTCGGGGAAAGGAGGGCTGCGCCTGGCACGGGAGAGCATGCCCGGGTGGGGGGAGCCCCGACTCAGCAGGGTGGGGGCACACGAGAGAGGGAGCCCTCCCCCCCCCCCCCCCGCGCGGGCGGTGCAGGCGCGGCCAGCAGCATGGACGTGTGCGCGCGCGTGTGTCTGGTTTATAGTTGCTTGTTGATTTTAGGGGGGGAGAAAAGGGGAGAGGAAGGACTAGGGTCTAAATAAGGGGGGGTGCAATTGCACGGGGAATAGAACCACAGTGAAAAAGCATGCATTGTGCAAACATGAAAACTGATGCAAGAATTACATAAAATAAAATATTAATTTAAAAAATGCACCAGCATGGAGGAGGGTCGGGCGGCCGGGGCGGGGGGGTCCCGGGGCGGCCACCCCCGCACCCCAGCGCCAGGAGGCCCGCGGTGGACGCGCAGCCGAGCCCGCCCGCGCCCGGGCCGGCGCGGGGGCTGCCGGGAAGGGGGCGGGGCGGCGCGGGGGGCGGCGGGCCGGGGAGAGCGGCGGGGGACTCCCGCTCCCGGCGTGCCCCGCGCGCCGCTGCGTCCGGGGGCGGGGCCTGCGCGCGCGTGCGCCGTGGCGGGGCGCGCGGGCGGCGGCGGCGAGGCGGTCGCTTCGAGCCGGCAGGTTCGCTCCCTGAGGGGCGTGAGGGCGGCGCGCGCTGCCGGCCACGGTCCCGTCCCGGTAAGTGCGGCCGCGGCGGCGGGGGCGGGGCCTCCCGGGAGCGTCGCGGCGGCCCGGGCGGCCCCGGCGGCGGCGGGTGGGCTCGCGGCCGGCGCCCCTCAGGGCCGGCGGGGAGGGGGAGCCCGGCCTGGGCGCCCCTCGGGCCCGCGGCGGCGCCCGCTGAGGCCCCGGCGGCCCGGCCAGGAGCGCCGCGCGCCCCCGCGCCGTTGCCCCGCGACGGCCAACGTCCGCCGGAGGACGCGGGCCCGAGGTCGCGCGGGGCGGGAGCGGCGCGGACCCGCGGGGGGCGCCGGGGAGGGGCGCCCGGCGCACCCCCTTCCCCGCCTTTCCCGGGGAGCCCCGCGCCCCTGCGCATAAACGCGCGCGCACGGCACCCCGGGGCGCGGGGGGCGCAGGACGCCAGGGGGGCGGGCGCGGGGGGCGCGGCGGGCGGGGAAGCGGCTCCAGCCCGGCCGCCTCCCCGGGACTCGGACGCCCGTGGGACCCGCGCTCCGGGCGAGGTGATCTTGAGGCTCCGGCCAGAACACGCCGCCCCTGAAGGCTCGGTTCCCGCGCCCGCTCCGATCCCAGGACGCTCCCGCCGGCCGCGCCCCTCGGGCCAGCAGACGCCCCGCGCCCCGGAGTGAGCCGCGCGGGGCCCCGCCGGGACGGGAAGGATCGTGGGGCCGGGAGAGGCCTGGGAGGCACCTGTGCTCTTCTGGAGTCTTTTGTCAGGGGCGTGTTTCACCTGCTCAGAAATGGAGTGTGGGCCTTCAAGCGTCCCAGGTGAACGTGATTTCTGACCCTGCAGGTCCTCCTCCTCTCCGGGGGGTCACCTTACAAACCTGGGCGCACCTGTGGCACCTGTGGCAGGGACCGCAGCGGTGCTGGGCGTTGTGGTTGAAGCAAAAGGCCGGGCCCAGGCTCAGTGTTCATTAGAAGTTCGTGAAATTCATTATACACAGTCCTTGGAATATTCTGCAGCCACAAAGAAAAGTTCATTGTATAAGCAGAAAAGTTATCGCGAAAATGTACAGTGTCTGGGGGGAGGAATATTCCTATTTAATGGGGAAAAACAGGAGGTGTGTTTCTATAGAAACGTGTTTGTATATAAAATATGTAAAATCTGGAAAGGTCGATGAGAAGCAGGGAATATTGGAGGAGGGGATTCGGGTGATAAAGCAAAAAGAGAATAGGGAGACGTCGCTATGTTTTTGGTACCTTTTGACTGTTGAACCATGTTTTCCCCTGAATGGACGAAGGAATAGATGTTTGTTTTTTTTTTTTAATTTTCTAGAGGCATGTCTCATTTATTTATTTATTTATTATTTGTTTGTTTTTTGGTTGGTTTATACAAGCACTGGGTACAGTCAGAAGCGCGGGAGGGTGAGAGAATTCACCGAGCCAGAGCGGGGAGCAGAACAGGCAGATCGATGAAGTACACTGCTGAGGGGAGCAGCGGGCGGCAGGCGAGGTCTGCAGGCCTGATGGGACCCTCCTCCAGTGGCCGGGGAGCAGCCGGGGATCGAACCGGCATTGCAGAGGCCGCGGGCAGCTTCGCAACCCAGCGCTCAACCGCTGCGCCACCGGGGAGGCCCCAGGAATAGATGTTAATGGGGAAAAAGTAGATGCGCGATGGAGATCCTGATGCCGCCAATATCCTGAACAGCAGAGAATCTCACAGTAGGGGGACCCCAGCATTTCCGTGGCTGGCAGCATTTCGTAGTTCTTCAGTGGTTTGGATCTTGTTGGGACTGAAATGAATACCAGACTGTAGTTTGGGGTTCCGGTTTGCTCCGTGTGTCTTCACCAGGCCGAAACCAAAATTACCTAGAGCCTACTTTCATCAGACAGAGTTCAGGAGAGCTGCTGGAAGTCTGCCGAGCCCCAGCTCAGAAGCGGCTCCATGAAATCTGGATGTATATTCCTTGAGCTAAAGCAGGTCACACAGCCGAGCCCATAGAGGGATGATGTCTGCTCTGCCTCCCGGGAGGCCCAGCAGATCACCTGGGTGTGGGCGTGCGCTTTCATTGCAGGAGGTGAGGGAGAGTTGGTCATGATGAAGTAAAGAGGTTAATAGATGATGTGGAATTAAATTGAAGATGGTTGAAAAGATGCTTAGAACGCCGTACAGGTGTGTGCACAGATGCTTAGAGAGTTTTCTTTTCTTTCTTTTTTTTTTTTTTTTTTTAAGATTTATGTATTTATTTATTTATTTATACAAGCACTGGGTACAGTCAGAAGCGCGGGAGGGGGAGAGAATTCACCAGAGCCAGAGCGGGGAGCAGAGCAGGCAGAAGGAGCGAAGGACACCGCTGAGGGGAGCAGCGGGCGGCAGGAGAGGTCTGCGCGCCATGTGGGACCCTCCTCCGGTGGCCGGGGAGCAACCGGGGATCGAACCGGCGCCGTAGAGGCTGCGGGCAGCTTCGCAACCCAGCGCTCAACCGCTGCGCCACCCGGGAGGCCCTTGGAGAGTTTTCTTAAGGCTTTATGCCTGGGTGTCACATTTGCTTTATCTTAATACAACATCTGCCAAACCCTCACCTGACCCTGTAAACAATTCTGAGTGTACTCAGGAAACTTGGCAATAATGAAATAACGAGCATTTAAAGATACCATGGAGAAGTAATTCTAAATGTGTTTATTTCAACTGCTGCGGGTGTTCATTCATAGTTCTTGTGTCATATTCATGTCTGCCAACCCACCTTTCACAACAGAATCTTCTTTTCAGGGAGATGTCCTTTGCTTCTCAGATGTAATGCACTTTAAGTTTGTTATTCGACAGTGAAAATGAGTCATACAGAGGTAATACATATTCTCATACGCTATGCATCTTCAGAGTTCCTCCTCTTTAATTTTTTTCTTTGGTAGTCACGTGGCTCTAGAGGTGTTTTCATATTTTGAACTGTAAAATAGAGTATAATTTCAGTGATTAAGAGTAAAGACTCGGGATTAGACTACCTGAGTTAGAATCCTAGCTAGTGGAGTGTATAACTTTGGGCACATTACCTAACCCGCTGTGCCTCAGTTTTTGCTTCTATAAAATAGAGATGCTAGTATTTGCCTTACAGGATTATTAGGAAGCTTAAGTGACTTAATACGCACATAGCACTTAAAATAGTACCTGATACATACTGGGTACTTTGTTATTAGCTGTAATATTACTGCTGCTTATTTGGAGGCCATGGTTTGAATCATGGGCCTCATAAAACATGTATGGTTATCCAGTTGGTGGAATAGAAAAGGAAGTAATTTTTGATCCCTTTATTCTCTTGAATTCCAGGTTAAATTAAAAATACCCTTTGGAAATAAATTACTAGATGCTGTTTGTTTGGTACCTAGCAAGAGCTTAACATACGGAATTATTCTTACACATGGAGCATCAGGAGATATGAACCTTCCTCATTTGATGTCACTGGCATCCCATCTTGCATCTCATGGGTTTTTTTGCCTGAGATTTACCTGTAAAGGCCTTAATATTGTACATAGAATTAAGGCATATAAATCAGTATTGGTAAGACTATTTCTTTTTTTATAATTACGACAGAATTCTTAGTTTGAAAATTCTTAGTAAATTTCAAATAAATTTTACTAGTCATTTGGTTTAAAAAATCTTTTAGTAAGTAGCCTTGAGAACTCAGTACATTAAAGCTGTTTAGTGGTTAGATTTCTCTCTCTTTGCCATCACTTAGTTTCCATGGAGATGTTCATATCATAAATGTTCCTGGTACTGCCGAGGAAGCTACTTATGATGTGATTCTCTTATTGGAATTATACAACTTTAGACTACGCTTCTGGATGTTTGCATGTCATATTGTGAATGTACAGATATGGTACTATTTTCTGTTTGTTATTTAGAAACTAAAATTGGATAAAACATTTCAAGTCTGCTAAGTTTTTCAGAGCACTAAGTTAATGTTAGTATTATCAAATTTGTGTTAGTTGGAAGCTTTTACTGACTTTAAACATAATTTAATTTAAGAAATTTTTAATTCTTGAATATTTTTAGATTGTGATTTTTTTTTTTAATTTGCCTTTACTACCCAACATATAATTGATAATGAAGGTATTGCTAGATGAGCAAAGAGCCGATTACCACTTTGAAGAGAATTCCTTAAAATTTTATGGTTGTCTTTGCAAAGATTTTATTAATGATGAGACATATGTAAATATATGTTGGTTATCCAGTGGGATATCTTGTAGGAAAAGAATTGATACGTGTATATATACACACACACAATTTTTTTTTTTTTTTTTTTAGAATTATCTAAAGACCTCTGGAGAATATAAACTTGCAGGTGTTTTCCTTGGAGGTAAGTTGCAGTATTTGTGAATACTTGCTTTTAAATCTATTCATACTATAATGGCATAGGTAATCAAGAATTAAAATTAATTGATTACAGGAGGCTAGTTTAAGTTTGTTTTGGCAAGTCACTCCATGAAGTACTTTGTTTTTAAAGTAAATTTAAATATAAACCTTATATGTATTATATAACCTTATATGTACCATATAAACCATATAAACCTTATATGTATTATAACCCGAAAGTCTCCTTATTTATATCCCTGTGTCACCCTCTCTCATTTGACTCCTTCACAAGAATTGTCCTGACCTTTGTAAGTATTCTTCAGAAAATAATTTTTCCCCCTAATTTGATGTAGGATCAGTTTTTATCTCTTCCCCAGGCTTTATCATAATGGGTATCACAACTTGTTAATTGTCACCTCTTGGAGTTAAGAATCTGCTCTGTCATCACCGCTACTTACGTGCATGTTTGTATTTCAGACTGAACTTAATTTTAACTGATTTTAGGTCGTTCAATGGGCTCCAGAGCAGCTGCTTCTGTAATGTGTCACATTGAGCCAGATGACGCTGATGACTTTGTTCGAGGTCTCATATGTATTTCTTACCCACTGCACCACCCGAAGCAGCAGCATAAACTTAGAGATGAAGATCTGTTTCGTATAAAAGATCCCGTTTTGTTTGTGTCGGGGTCTGCAGATGAAATGTGTGAAAAGGTGAATTACAGCTTGATGTTCTTGTGAATCAGAGAGAAAGAATGAAAGGCAGAAATATCCTGGGAGTAGGATACTGCCTGCAACATTTATCCTCTTTTAACAATGCTGATTTGACTAATGTTTTCTGTGCCTTTGTGACCCTGTCGCTTTAAAAAATAATAATAATAAAAATAAGAGCATGCTGACAGAATTCGTCTCCGGGAAGGAGAGTGGGTAACCTTTAAAGTCTTACTTGGAAAATGAAGGAATACATACATCTGAAGCTTGTGATTTGGGGGTTACTAGACAGCATATTTAGCGTTTCAACATTCAAGCAGATTCTTCAACTTCTTGTAAAATTGACTCTTGGAAAGAAATAATTTGTACATATGAACAGATAGTGGCATATTTCCCAAGCATATGATTTCCTTGGGGAAAATATTTTTTAGAATCTTTTTGCTCCAGTTCACTTAACTTTTAGCGACAGTAGTGAACACTTGCTGTTCTGTGGTGGTGTTCTTCTGAGAGGCGTGGGCTTTCTTTGCAGATTCCACCGCCTCAGAAGTTGTCTTTAGCGTAGGTACTTATTGAATATTTTGTGACTGGACGCCAGGTATAGTAGGGCGGGAGGGCATCTTTACACGAGTCTAGTATCCTCTTCTTTTTTTTTCCCTGTAGAACTTGTTGGAGAAAGTGACACAGAAAATGCAAGCGCCTAATAAAATCCATTGGATTGAGAAGGCAAATCATTCCATGGCAGTGAAAGGACGGTCAACAAATGATGTTTTCAGAGAAATAAATACACAGATTTTGTTTTGGATTCAGGAAATCACTGAAATGGACAAGAAATAATCGTCTTTAGTTTAAAAAGCCATGTTATTTTGAATACAAATACAGTTGATTTGATAAAGGACAGCACAATGCCCAGTGTTATGAGACTACTTCAGACTAATTTAATGCTCTTTAATGTCCCCGTTTTTAAAATGTTTTGTGAAATTAAATGTTCTTTACAATGTCTTTTGAAAGCACTGTTACAGTTATATAAAGATGATGTACAAATATTGAGTGGTCTAAATATAATTTATTTTCATTAATATAGTTAAGTTTTGAAAAAATATTAAACATTTGAATTTTGTTACAACAGTACTTTTGTCTTATTGCGGTGCACCTGAGAAAGTAATTTCACCTTTAAAAAGGAGAACAAAACTTAGGATAGTAAATTTATCCAATTTTATAGAAAGTATACATCTATTCCTCTGATCTTCTAGTAGAATGAAGATATATTTTCAAATATTGAAAACAAGGAACATTTTTAGGGAATGAGGTTAACAACTTATATTTGGAGCTTAGATAGGGGAAGCTACCTGGAGACCTCTCCAGTGAGGAGAAGGAAAGAAGGAGTAGGGCAGACGTCTATGCTGTGGAGGTCGAGTTAGGGCACTTAGTTGTGCTTTGGGAAGTCCAAATACCACCTGGTCTGGACTTAAATGGCACTGACTTAGGTATTAGAGGCGGAATTTCTGTCTTTCCTGGAAAGGGCACCACATGTCATGAGGCTGATAGATGTTCTAACGAGAGGGAGATTTCTGTCCCCTGGCCTCCCTACTGCCCTGATTGGCCTTGCAAACCGCTTCATAGTACAATGGGAAGCGCGCAGATTTTTGAGGTTCCTCTTCCTTCCCGAGTGGAGTCTGGGTTGTCATTTTTCTAAAATGCGGGAGGAACAAAAACCTGGACAACGGGGTGCAGATCGCTCATATTACGGGATGGAGTTTAGTACAATTGTAAGGGCAAAGTTTGCGTATCACTCAGTGCATCATTTTTTGACTAATTTCTTCAACCTAGATTTTAAAAAATAGTATGTCATCAATATGTTACACTTGGAATTTTTAAAAATTTGATACCAAAGCGTTGTAAATATCAGCTAACAAATACAATCATGGTCTGTTAAGTATAAATCGAAAAATATTGTATAAATTGAAAAACACTGTACTAGAAGTAAAACTAGTAGTAGGAAAAAAGTATACAGAGGATAGCTTCTCCCAAGATAGGCCCTAATATAAAAGTATAAAGAAGAAACATTTAAAAGGTCATTAACCAGGCAGTGTAGTTGTGATCAAGTCACAAAATTAAACTATAGGCATAATAATGGGATGAAGTTTGAGATTTTGTTTAAAGAGCTCTCCTTAGGCCTCTGTTAGGCCCCATTAATGGCACAACCACTTTCCCTTCTTAACTGGGAGTTAACTCGCCTGTTAAGGGTAATTGGAGAATATTGGAAACACGGTAGTTTTGATGGGGTTGGATGCTCCTGACATCGCAGGAACTACAACAAAAAAGGGATCGCCGGCTAACATACTATCAAGCACAGAACAGCCAGCAGCAACACAAGTGTCTGGCCCAAAATAAGAGTCCCTGCCGAGAAACTGTCCTATACAAACAAACTTTGGCATTGTCTTTAAATGCTTTCTTCCTCACCACTAACTTGAATACCACCCTCACCCCCTACCCCAACCCACCCACCTGTCTAGTTCATCTGCTTTTTTTCGAGAGTCAAATCCTTGGTTTTCAGTCTCTTCCAGTCTGAGTCTCTGCCTTCTTTATGTTCCTCTGCCTTCGCTCTAATTCAGGCCCTGGTCTCTTCTCATCTGTGTAACTGAGGTAGACTCTTGGCTTTCATTATGTTATTGTTTGCTTACTTCAGTAAATCAGTTGACACCTCCAACTGAAAAACTGCTGCTGGATCTCCAAAGGCGACTTAGGTTAATATTCTTACTTCATGGCTTGCCACGATGAAACCTATGGACATTTAGCCTTATTCCCCTTCATGTTCTCAACCTGTACACGGTACTCCAGCTGACCTGGACTACACCAAGCTCTGAAACAGGTGTTTCTGTCTTCCTGAGAATTTCTTGTTAGTCTTTACTTGTGTTACCAAATCACAATCACCTTTTAAGGCCCTCAAATGTTCTTTCCCTCTAGAACTTTCCTTGAATTACTCCAAGTATATCTCCAAACCCACTAGCATCTTCTGCTTTGTTAATCACAAAGTGCCTCTTGGTAAGCTATTTATGTATCCCTTCGAGGCAAGGAGTGGTTTTTACTCACCTTTGAATTCATAAAGTACTTTGCAATTATTGGTTCAATGCCTTGCACATTTATTAGTCAAGTATTCATCATATTGAATTAAGATACTTACAAGGAAAATTCCCAAGCATTATGAGCAATCCCTGGTTTTATAGTGCTATTTTATACCTCTATTATTGGGACTTTTTTGCTAATACATAAAAAATCGGGGTCACAATGCCCAAATAGTTAAGAATGTCATTGGTAGAGACAAAGGATTTTTGAAAACCTTAATGGAATTTTTTTCCTCAGTGTTCACTTACAGTGTCGGCATCACTGCCATTAATGAGCTTTCTCTGGTATTCATTATTGTCTTCATGATTTCTAAAAATAAGTTTCAGCATTTCCTTTCTATGCTACTCGATGCTGACATAAGAAGAGGTTTCTAGTGCAAAGGATAGAAGCATCTGTGCAGAAAACGAGTGTATTTCTGTTAGTAGGCAAGTATATAAATAACAAGCACTTCAAAGCCCTGGAGGAGGATGGTCTTTGCCTCTGTGCAAACTTCAGCACAGCAAAACCTCTACACAGATGTTCCTTTCCACTTCTTACAAGAGCTGGCTAGGGATTCAGTGCCATAGAGCTCTGAGACAGCTAAGGAACTAGAGGGTAAGGGTTAAGACATTTAATCCCCATTAAGGTAGTTAACATTAAATGCAATTGGGATTGTTTGCCAGCCAGCGAGAGAAATGGAGTATTTTGCCAGTTGCATTAAATTGTATAGTAAAACCCAGCAGAATAAAGTCTGATTATGTATGTAGATTGGGGGCGTGGGGGGGGGGTACACCACCAGAAAGGAGAGCATATTTTACCCTAGAAAAATTCAGAGGAATTGCTGAAGTTTCTTCTGGAACTAATGAATGCCTACCATGTATTCTGGAGAATTAATGTTTGCAAAGACAAACCCAAAATTACAGTTAAATGTAAATATTGTAAATACCTGTATTGTGTGGTCCAGTATCAGGAGCTCAACAAATCTTGGCTTAAACATGTGACACACAGGCTCGAACTACCGTTAGTTCCAGTGTAACATGTTTTTCTTTCCTCGACCCACCTTGAGTAAGTGAAGATAAAGGAGTATTAGTTACATCTCGACAGGTATGTTAACTGCTTTGGTGGATAGTCCAGATTACCTTGTTACTAGCTGATTAAGCTCATAGTCTATATACTCTCTAGACTCTGGAGACTTGGAGGGAAAGGGATCTTTCTGGTCTGGCTCTGCCCCACCCCAATTCTGACATCAGAGCATCACAAGTAAGCGGCTCCTTAGAATATCTGGAGATGGGGGTGGACAGAAAATTCACCAGGAGACCCTTTCGAAATCTAACTTAGGTTTTCAGTATTAACAGTAGACTTGAATAGGAACATTGCAAAAAGAAATATAAAATGAGGTGTTCTATTTTAAGAGAATAAACTCAAGCTATCATATGTTCTATATAGTGACAGTAAAAAATACATATCATAAAGATTATATTCAAACTAACCTGGGGCATCTAGTATTGTTGTAGAACTTTATTACATTTTATTTTTGCAAACCTGGTACAAATTTTGCAAATTTTGCAAATCTGGCAACCCTGCATTCGTATTTTCCTGATCACAAAGAAGCATAAAACAGACTACTCTTGGCGGTAATGGAAAATGGTTATGTCCAATTCAAATTTGCTCTATGTTTTTTAAAATTAGAGGGCAGTGATAACCCATTAGTACCAAGATTTTTTTTTTATAGAATTGTGTTTCTTTTTGTGAAATTGAGATTATCTTCAAATTTTTTATTAAAAAAAAAAACTACTTACAGCATCATACCTGTCTTACCAACAAACTTTCATTATTGCTATGGTAAGTTGAGATGAGCTCAGTTAAATCCCCTCTATGACACGTACCCCACTTTACTTGGGCCCAGAGCAGTCACTGCTGCACTTGACAAGACACTGAAAGCGCAGGGATTTGCTTCCTGGCAGGGCTGTGCATGTGGTTATGAGATGGGCTCACCAACTGCTTGTGTTTGGGGGCATCTGGAATCAAAGACTTCTGAATAAGAAAGACATCAATCTATATCACAAAAATGTCAAAACAATATTATTTCTTTAAAAACTTGGTGAGGGGTGCATTGGACGAAAACACATTTTTTACATCATGGGACCATCTAGAGTCCTGGATTTCTCAAAACAATTGGATGGCTATCTTCTTTATAATTTTCCTAGGAATTATTTTTGAGATCATACTCATAAAGATTTATACATCCTTTCAGAAGACACCTGCACTTCCAGAAAAGAGTAGCTTAAATACCCAGGAGGTAAGAACAAATGGTCGATTTCCTTCTTTATTTTCCAAAGTCACACAGAAGAATAACTTGTAAAATTGTGGGACTCGGTTATCTAGATTACTCCTCTAACGTTTTGTCATGTCCCTTGAAACAGAGTGAAGACAGTAGCCTACAAAGCATGACATTTGGTAAATATCATATAATTTTATATTTTAATATAAAATTTATTCAACTTGAACTTCTCTTATTGGTGCTGACATTTTTTTGTTCCCATTTATCTCTAGATAATTACTCAATTCATTCATCTTCAGAAGAAAGGTAAGTGATATTTTGAAGTGAAATATGTTGGTTTTGTTTTATTCAAAATTACATGTACCTCTGACTTACAAAAAAGGGTTCACATGTAATTAAAAGCCAGAGGATTAATAGGCAAGAGAGGAAGACACAAGAAGAAATGGAGAGAAAGGGAATGTTAGCTTCAGAATCATGGTGACCCCATAGCTTCCCTATCCCTGTGTGCTATTTCATCTCTACTTAAGTGGGATCAAATCCTCAGGGGTAGCTTTCTGGGAGACATTAGAGAAAAGTAACTGAGAGGAAGGTGTGGGTAGTGGGGTTAAGGGAAAGAGTTTAGAGATGTGTTTCCTATGGTGGCAGCATGTTGAAAAGATTCAGATTTTGAATTTGCGACATGAAAATAATTTATTGTTGGACCGATTCATTGAGTGAACAGAACTAGGTAATGGTTTAT